TTGTACCTGGACTTTAAGTTCCTGCAACTCCGCTAGTGTCATCCTATGCAGTGTCATAGAAATAGGGGATACACCGGGCTGTAACTTTATAGTGAAATCTACCTCCCGGTGCGGTGACAATCCTGGTAACTCATCTGGAAAGACATCCGCATAGTCACACACGACTCGAGGCAGACCCAATTCTTGTCTCTCCTCGTCCTCTAGTGTAAAGCTAGCAAGCCAACCTATTAACTGTCCGAGCCATCGGGAGTCATATATGGCATGGGATAAGACATTGTGTTTCTCCCCTTGAAACTTGAAACAAACCCCGTCTGAAGTGTAAGCTGTAACCCTCTTGCGCTCACAATCAATGATGACTTTATGTGCCGCCAACCAATCCATCCCGAGTATGACATCGAACTCCGTCATCTCGATGACCCTAAGGTCAACGGTAAGTTGGGTTCCTTCGATCTCCAACTCACAACCCCGACATATCTTGTCAATACAAACTCTGTCTCCTAGGGGTGAACTCACATACATGGGCTCCTCCAGAGTTTCGACCTCTATGTCTAAGTCTCGTAGGCATGATGTAGCAATAAAAGAATGTGATGCACCAGAATCAAATAATATTTTAGTCCATAATCTAGAGAGAAGAAATGTACCCTGAATTACTGACTGATCTGCCGATAAAGTCTGTGGTGTGATGGCGAAGACTCGCCCCTGGGTCCCTGAAGTCTCGGCCTGAAAGCCTTGTCCCCGGCCTCGACCCATGCCCTGGCCTGACTGCGGAGTCCCCGCTCGTGAAGTGGTAGGGGTCTGTGTCGTACCCTGAAACTGCAACTGATTTCCCTGTCCCCTGATGGGGTAGGGAGGAATGAAGTAGGTCTGTGGATGCCCCACTGAAGACTGGGACTAAGTTGCCTCGTAGCTCTGTGATCCCTGCCTCTGAGGACACTTTCTCTTCAAGTAGCCTGGTTGATGGCAATAGTAGCATATCCGTGGGCCTCCCTGTTGTGTCCCCTGGAATTCCTCCCGCCTTGGGAAGATTGACCATGGCCTTGGCCTTGACCCTGATAGCCTCGACCCTGTCCCTGTGATCCCTGTGGGGTAGAAATCCTCTGTCTCTTCCCTGAGCTAGTAGTGGAGGACTGTCCCTCCTTCTTCCTGTCCTTTGATCCAGCCTCCCGAATACTCTTGGCATCTTCCACCTCTCTCTCTATAGCCATGGCTGTCTCGATCATCTCATCAAAGTCGTGCAACCTGTGGCCAACAATCTTCCCACGGATGGATAGCTTTACGCCATTTTCAAACCCCCGCACCTTGGCCAAATCAGTGGCCACGTAGTCATCCGCAAAACGTGTCAATTCTGTGAACTTGGCCACGTACTGCATAACCGTCATCGCTCCTTGCTTCAAGTTTAGAAATTCGTGGGCTTTGACTTCCCGAACAGTTGGTGGAAAATATTTCTTCATGAAGAGCTCTTGAAACTCTCTCCATGTCATCCTTCCGATGTCTATCGGCTTTGCCCATGTCTACCATTGATGGGCGTCTCCCTCAAACTGGAAAGTGGTCAATCGTATCTTCATGGCATCAGATGCAATCTCCATTGCCTCCAAAATTTTGTCCACCTGTTGGAACCAATTGTCAACTAGCATCAGATCCTCTCCTCCTACAAAGGTTGGTGGGTTATGGGACCTAAACTTCTGGAGGTTGTTCGAGCCTCCTAGGCCCACATTAGAACTGGCTTGCAAAAAGGTGGCGGTCATCACGCCCATAGCCTCCATAAAGGCTTGTTGATCAAAAGCCGGTGGTGGTGGCTGGTTGTTTCGTCCACCCCGACATCCCCTTCCTCTTGTTGCCATTTACACACACATAAGATAGTAATAGACCAATAACATAGTATCCCAAAGTTAGGGATCAAGGTTAAAACAGTAGAATATATACCTACCGGTAATGACGCAAATAATAGGCTTACATATCCTTTTCCTTATCAACTCTAAGGTTATGTTTTCTAACCATAGTGTCTCATTCCTATATATATTTAATCATGCATATAATCTCATAACACATAGCATGAAAGATTTAATACATTTAACATGCAATGCAAAATGGATGCAATGGCTTAAACCCATGTCCCGTAAGCCTTAGGTAAATTGTGAACCTAGGCTCCGATACCAAACTGTGACACCCCAAAATTCAGGTGTCTGTAATTATCCGATTGATCATCCATCGACCCGCGAAATAATGGTGGATATCATGTAATTCGATACCACACCGTTATGTCCTATTTCTCGGAATCCATTACTTAACAAAATTTGAGCAAAATCTCCTTTGTACGAGTAACACTACCCAAAAAAAATAACTTGTACAATATTGACCATACCGGGTCTATCCATCTATTCACAATTGTATAGTCTTGAATACTACCATAATCATCATCAGTATATACATTTATTCGTAAAAGAATAAATGTCTCAAAAGAGTCTCATATACTTGTCTTTGTAAATATAAACAAATGTTTGTTACAAAAATTATACAAAGCCAAAAGTAAGTATAAACAAGGGACTACATTGTCAAAATACGAGCCACAGACCAGCTCTGTCGTCAAAGCGGGCCCATGGCCTCGCCTTCGGTGGACACCTGTGCGACCCCTGAAAAATGTTCCCATAAAGGATGAGTCACGCTCAATAGAGTAACTCCTATATAAAATATCTCTCAACTTAAATGCATATGGAATGTCACATGCAACAATCATTCAAATATGTCTATTATGATTGAATGTCATAAATCATGTCATGTCATGAGATGAGACTCACGCAAGCAATATCAACCCCGAGCCCCATCCTGAGCTCCCATAACACATGCAATGTCATGCGTATGTATCCGGGCATTTCAAGCCTCCATCATTGGTGTTATGTACACTCAATGACTAATTAATTCATATTCTTGTGTCTTTGTGGGGAGGTGATTTATGGTATTACACCAATTAGACACCAACAATCAACGGATCTTCAGGACATCCCACCTGCGGCTCCGTTTTCGCCTTTACACTTTTCTGGAATTTCACCGCCGAAAAGTGTATAAACCAAGTAAGCGGGTCTTGCACCCGAGGAAGAATCTAGCCCTTCTTGCTGTCCCCAACACATTTATCCATTTAATTTCCCGTGCGACTCAGCCGAACATTGGTGCGACTTTTTCGAGTCCACGATCAACCACCTATGTGGTGATTAATTTCATACCATGCATACACTCCCACCCATGTCAATGTCCATGAATATAGTGCAACTCATGCATAATACAATACAATGTTCATTACATAATGAATACAATATAATGACATTTTAACACGATCTTAAGCATGTTATGTAAGATAATCAACTCAACTAACATATTTGTATTCACCTACGCATTTAATCAAACACCTAAAGAACACATCAATTTACACAACTAGCATGCTATGACTTGCAACATGACAACATGTTTATTAATTATATAAACATAAGCACAAGTCCATCAAAATAATCATATGTTAAATAATCATTTAACATACATATTATTTCATAATCACCTAACAAGTTAATAATTTTATTAAACTTGATCTGCCATTAAAATATAAAGTAATGCTAATATACAATTAACATGCTTTAAACAACTAACATTAACTTACATCAAGTTAATCACAATAAAATTTTATTAATCGCAAGGTCAATTATAAATCCTATATTTGACTCACTAGTCACATTAGTCAAGACCTAACATGTGATATACACTCATAGTCTATTCATTCCATATGTCATATTTTAAGTTGAAATTAAATCTAAATAGGGGAAACCCTACCTCTCGTAGCGTGAAACGACTTACTAGAACGCCAAAGAAGCCCAAATTTAGCTTCATAAACTTTAGTCCTAGATTATCGGTTTTGATATTCTTTTGGAGAAAAATACGATATTTGGTGTGGTTGCGTAGCTTTCGCTGAGTAGGCAACTTTAGTTCTTGACCCGAAGTAATTAAACAGTCCAATCTTCGTAAATCTAAGAAAAAAGAAAAGAGGAAAAAAAAAAACAAAACAGTCACTTTTCTCTCTCTCACTCTCTGTCTCGCCGTTTCTCCAACAAAACCAAAAAGTGGAAGACAAAGTATTATACTATATATATATATATATATATTATAAATTTATTATTTTTTTTTTTTTGAAATTTTATATTTTTGACCAATAATTTAATAATTAATTATTATTTACCCCTTTAATTAAGATTTTTTTAATAATAATAATAATTTTTTTTTTCGAGTTTTAAACTAACGCTAAAAACACACTCAACACATACTATATAAACCCTTGTAAACGAGAGTTTCCATTAAGAAAAAATACCCTAAGACAAAACTTTCTCTTATTCGATAAACAATTTACTAATTCTGCTAAATTAATTTTAACATCAGAGGTAATTCAGTGGAGGTCACACCGATCTATTACTCTCAGTTTCTTTTGACAGGAGCAGAACCACATCATGGCCATTCCCCGAAAACTAACCTCCGAACTCTGGACCAGTCTTACCGACTTTATTGACTGATTGCCCCCCACCACTTATAACTAGTGTTCCAAGCTGAGAGAAATGATTAATGCTGATTATTGCCGTGCCGTTCATTACTCTCATCCACGTTGTTTCAACAGTGTATCTTATCGTTTTTTTAAGCAGTTGGCACCAGTACAAATCACGAACTGATTAGTGTAGAATTTGCTTATTCACTTTTATCATTTTTCTCTTTTGGCTATTTCTCCTTACAGAACTAAGCCCATTGATGTAACGAAATTCAAAGCCTTTTTCACTTTCACAGCTACCCTTGTGGGTTATAGGGCCATACTATATTCCAGGTATATTTTAAATAGGGGCGATTATTGCATGACAAAAATCTGCCGAATAGCAAAAATGGGTTCCAAACCTTTTTTCACCATAGGTGACGACGAGGGAGACAAAGATGGAAGAGATCAAACACGGGAATAAAAAGCAAGCTCGCCTTCAATTCATGCCAAACACCCGTGTTCAACACGCCCCACTTAGAGGGTGTGGGTGTGGGTGTGGGTGTGTGTGTCAGAGAGAAAAGAGAGAGAGAGATCTAACATAAACAATCATCCGAAGAAATACACTCGTTAGAATTCGGGCTGTCAGCTGTGTGGCCAAACAGAATTGACATGGAAGCAAATGAAACAACCTTAAGGAGCACTGCCTTCCCTACCTTGCTGGTGGTAGTTGTTCACTAAAATACAGAATCAATAAGGATTATAACGGCTGCGTCCACGGCCACTGTCATTCCCGCGTCTTCCCCCACTTGAGCCCCCACTTGTGCCGCCTCCCCCACCATTCCGGCCACCTCTTTGCTGTGGTGGTGGTGTGTGTGGCTGTGCTCCTGGCTGTTGCCTATTATGGTAAAACAACTAAAATTTAGATTTTGTACAAAGGATAATATATATACTCAACAGTAGGACACTCGGTAAAAATTAGTTCACTTGTGGCTGACAACAGATCCAATAAAGTGCAAATCTGATAGTTACCAAAATCAAATCACAATAGATAACAAATATATATATATATATATATATATATATATATATATATAAGTTGGATCCTATATAACGGCAACCGATTCCGAGTTCAATAAAATGTCCAAAAACACAAACTAGAACAAAAAAAAAAAGAATTTTAATATTTGAATGCCTACTTATAGGATAAACTACAATAACCCCTAACATATAGGTTTATTCTTCTGCCACTAAATAACATTTCAATGCTAGTACAAAGATCCACTCATATATCAAAGTTCTAACAAGAACCCTTCTGGCACAGAAAAAGGCATGGTCGGCAAAAATAATAATCAAAATGTTTTTATTGCCCCCTTATTCTTCTTTTTTTTTTTTTTGTTAAATGAACACACAAGGAAATACATGATTTTGAACATACTTTACCCAACATCATCCTGCAGTCGCAACAAAAGTCTAAAAAGATCAATAAGCCCAAGTCCAAGCACCACCTCCAAAAAGGGCCAACCTTATTCCTTGCTAACAAAACATTATCATATTTCCAAATGAACTCCTCATTGGAACAAAATTGATCCTGTAGTGTAGTCAAACAAACCTCCTCTTCTTCAACAGTCCCCTCCCCCCACCCCCCCAAAAAAAAAAAACTTTTTCTCCCCCTCACCCACCCATCCACCCACAGACAGCAGGACCAGTGCCGCTGCCATGATATCCAACAGTTTGAACGGTTACAATCAGCTAGCTATTCGCACCAATCATTAGGTATACAGGCGAGGCAAAGGGAAAGAAGAGGGCTAGGGAGTAGATCAGCGGAAGGGGGAGGGGGGGAGGGGACTATAGTTGCCAGGCTAGGGTCTGATGCCAACAGGATGTGTTGGGCCCGACCCCGCGACGTGGGGAAGCAACTATGGTCAACAGGCTAGGGTCTGATTCCGGCAAGGTGGGTGGTCGGTGAGCCTCCGCTTCTCACCCTGTTATTATCTTGACCAGTTTGACCAAGGTACCAATTTTGACCAAGGCTCCAACAAGTCATCCCTCATAAATCCTTCAAAACATATTCGAGTTACATAAAAATCTCAATTGGTGACAAATCAAATCCTTGTGGAATTTGGATTTGGGCCGGAATCTGATCGTGATCAACCCATTGACAACCGTAAATCCACAATATAGCCGACTGGCCAAACATCAATGTTCTGAAACGTATGACCAATTGCAAAAGCACGAATAGATCTGATTCCACAGGTGAGTTGTTACAACTCTGGACAAAAACATGAAGGACTTTTTTTGAGTCTCTATAATTACACTAACACAAGAAGCACTAGACAAGTGTTTGGTTCACAGCCACTGCAGCTTAGATAAAGCAGAAAGATGAAAGAAGGCATGTTAATTCAATAGAATATAGAAACACAGATGAGATAAAATCTCAAGATGGCAAAAATCCAGAACAAAGCATTACCGACGAGCAACTGCCCATGGAAAACTGCAGATGGAACCATTTCAAAAGGAACACGTGCAGAAGGAAGCATGCAGATTTTCGTATCACATCCTACATATCTAAGCAGTAGCATAAGAAGAAAAAATTTACTTACAGAACATATCCAATCCTTCCATCAGGCAAAAGCATGGGCATCATGGCCATGCCAGCAGGTGTAGGTCCCCCACCATAGATCAGTGGCTGCAAGGCAATGCCATCTATATTAGCAAATTAAGCTAAACAACAAATCTAGAAGCATTAGCTTACCAGGACACCATGGTCAGATTATCTCTCTTCCTTGGGATAAAAGGGAAAAGCTTAAGAGGCTGTGTTACAAGTGTATGGTTGCAGGGTTTATTCACTAGATGAGTATAAAAAGGAGAAAATCCTGAGTGGGACATTTCAGGCTGCGCAACATGCTTAGTGCCAGAGTATTACACGCCTGTCCCAACCTACGCATCTTACTCACAACCTCTTGTCCACATTCTTTAAATGGTGATTTTCCAACTGCTATACAGCCCAAAAATAGCCTCACCACAATGATGTACTGTCTCCCAAAAATTAAACAGTACAACCAACACATTTGCCTCCTATCTGCTAGTAAATTATAGGACACCACTGACTGGATCAGTATTAATTCTAAGAATACATGCAAAATAGTCGACTCAAATCTTTTTAAGAAAAAAATGTTTGAAATGCATGGCTAATGGAACTATTGTACACCAAATATCAGATATTACAAATTGATATACCAAAAAAGAACTCTTCCAATGGGGTGAAATGAATGTATCTTACTTGTCCAAACCCTGCACCAGCATATCCCGCACCTAAAGCACCATAGGCACCCCCAACCAAGCCATAACCAACACGAGGTGGGTAACTTGGGAGTAAGGCCGACTTCTGAGAGTTTGGGCCTCCAGAAGACTTCTGATCTGCTTGTGGCTTGGCGAGTGAGCACTCCAAAACTTGACCTGCCAAAACAAAACGCAGAATAAGGCCAAACAACATAATCTACATGACCTATTCACCATCCCTAATTACAGAAAATCACATGCATTATCTAGGAGACAGTATTACCCTCTATCTCATACTTCTCAGTGTTCTTTAGAGCCTTCATGGCACTTGACCTTTCTGCAAAGTGAACAAAACCAAATCTGCTTTTTTCTTGCCCTGCTTTCGCAGGAGGAAGAACTACCTTCGTGATCCTTCCATGATGTTCAAACAGCTCTCTTAACTGATCCTGTGTAATATCCTTGGGCAAATTCTTGACATAGACCGCTTTAACCTGAGAGAAACCCAGGAATAATGACTCCAAAAAACCTCAAGATGTCAATACGTGTTCACCATTTTTTCGGCAATAATTATCCCACGACATTGGAAGGAGACCATGGGTAACTTTCTCCAACAACTATTATTGAATAAATCAGACCAATAACACTTGAAACTATTACTACACCAACCACCATTTGTTTAAATACACAACATCAATGCTTGGCCAGTGAGCACTATAATATATTAGTCTTCTATATGTAGCAGATGTCACCAAGAGTTCAAAATATACAATACACGATGAACTCCTAAGAGAATTTCCAATTGTTCATGCTTGTGCGCATCAGGGTTGGAGCTTTCATCATTGTTGTCCTTGCTTTATTCGGTGGCTACAGTAATGTCGGTTTTGACAAATCATTTTGGTCTCTTCATTCTTTGAGGACTTTATCCGGTAATTTTTTCATCCGATGGTTGATTGATTACTCTAGTTTCTACTTTCTTTAACCTTTTTTTTGGCTAAAATGCCCTTAGAGTGCAGGTTTTTGTATGAGTTGTTGCTAAGAGAAGAATTATAACATAAGACTTGTTGCAAAGGAGAACAGCACATGCTTGTCTTTCTCCAATGTACAGTTGACGCATTGATCATCTATTTCTTTTATGTCCTAATGCACTACATTTATGGCATAACATTTTTAGGAAGGTGGGAATGGATTGGGTTACTCGATGTGATTGTGGTTTCATGTTTGACGAATGACATGATGTCTTTGGGAAAGGCAAAATGGATTCTATACTTTGGAGTTAAATTATCATAATAATTTTTTGGGTTCGCATTCATGGCAAGAATAGATGAACTTTTGATGATAGAGTTAGTTTGAATAGTATTAGGAATCCTTATCATCTTTGTGCGCCGCTACTTCCGATGAGTTTCGAAATATCCCTTTCTTTTCATTCATGTCCAAAAAAACAAAATCCTATAGTTGGTGCATTTCCAAAAAACTAGTTTCTGTACCAGCCACCATATGATTCGATCATATCTCCAATTGCCAGAATTGCAATGTCTTCAAATCATAATTTCAATTCCACTTTTTGTCATGCGATATCAGTAATTTAAAAAACTTCAATATGCTAATTTAAATCAAGTTACATAACAATTAAAATAAAATACAAAAGATTGAGGAGTTTTGGCATAATGTGGCATGTATTGAAGACAATAAAATTTTTGAAAGAAGACAACGGTCAAATATGACATGCATATTCCAAAAAATGGCACGTGAACAACACACCATTGAGAATGCCCTGTTTTACCAACAATGTCAAATTTGGGCATTGGCATACCCGATGGCACACCATTTTAGATGTTCTAATAGATGTCAAATGACTAAATACATGAATAACATCACTCCATTTGTTTGATAAACAGAAGTAGCAAGTGGAAGGTAGTACAAGTGCATAATAGATAACCTGGGAAGCAGATGAAGACTCCGCATTTTTTGGGTCAGCCCAGCTCACAGTTGGAGAATTATCATCGAGCTTGAATCTTGGATTCGACATCTTCAGCCTCGAATACTCGGCACACACATGATTATAATACTCAATGAATGCAAATCCACGATTCCGGCTGGAGTTCTGTGGGTCCTGCAGTAGTAAAGAAGAAAAATGAACAAAAATGTCTAAAATATTTATCGCAAATAAAAGCAAAGATGGAAAAGGCAAGGTAACTTGGAAATATAAAAAGCAGCAAAAAAAGCAAAAACTTGGTATGCGAAAATAAACAAAATGATTCAAAATACAAACCTTCAGCAGATCCACCGAAGTAACACCTGGCCCTACCTTAGACACAACCCGCTTCATATCTTTCTCTCCCCAGTTTCGGGGAACATTGCCAATAAATAGACGATGCTTGGATTGAGATGTTGAACACTTTATTTTTCTTCCCTGAGAAAGTAAGACACAGCAGAAAATCAACAACGAGGCACCGAAAACAACAAACACTCCAGCAACATGCCAAGGAAGACGCTGTAATCGTGATAAATTTACATAACACACACCCTTGGGTGCACAAATTGGTAGTGGTGTTATGTTTATAAATGTTTTCGGATAAATCTTGGGAAAATCTGATGGGAAGGAGAACATGAATAGCACATATTTTGTAAACCTTACCTTCAGTTCAGTATCGTTAAGCTCCTTAATGGCCTTAGAAGCCAAATCCTTGGTTCTGAATGTTACAAAAGCATAACCCTTGTTCTCCCCTGAGTCTCTTCCCTTCATTATCCTGACCTGTTATTGCAAGCATGTGATGTGAGGTATATCAGATAATACATTAGCACCATTGCATTAAACAAACAGGAATATAATTTACCTCGGTTACTTCTCCTATTGAACTGCAAAACCCCCTCAGATCATCTTCTGATGCATCTTGCGGGATACCACCTATGTATACCTCTGACCCATGAGGAGGCAGTGCAAGAAGCTCAGCATGCTTTTTTTCCACATCCTCATCTGCCTCAGCAGCCTTCATCTCCTCGTCTGCCCCTTCCTCCTCTTCCTCTTCTCCCACCTCCTCTTCCACCTCTTCCTCTTCCTCTTCTTCTTCCTCTTCCTCTTCCTCTTCCTCTTCCTCTTCCTCCACCTCCACCTCTTCCACTTCCTCTTCTTCTTCTACTTCTTCATATTCAACCTCTTCCTCTATTGTCTCCTCAAGGACATTGTCTTCATCAAGGTCCACCTGCTCTTCAGACTCAACAGGTTTTTCTGGCTCAGTACGCCTCTCAGGCACATCTGACTTAGAAGCTGCTGACCTTGCCCTTGTCCTCGGCATCTTTTATACCTTAGAAAGTAAGCTTGCACAGCAACTGTGTTGGAAGCAAAGAAGCCAGAAGCATTTGCAGAAGGAAGACCACAAATATGGACAGGTGGAAACAAATTGAAAGGCCAAAAGGAGTTCCAGAGTAAGAATCTCAATTGAATTTGTGCCATGAGATATGGCTCCAAGGAGTTAAGATGTGAAAATTTTCAATAAAGGGGCGACAAAATATAGCACGAATACAAAGCGAGATAGTCTAGAAAGAATTCTGAATGATAATCAAGAGGATGATGATGGTCAACAGGTGCAAAAACAATGAAGAAATGAATTTTACGATATTTTTATACCAACTGATGCCCGAAAAATTAAGGCAAAGTTTTATTGTAAACTATCAATCAGGAGCAATGCATTCACAACAAAGAAAATAGAAAAAGAAAAAATGAGCAAATAATGAGGATGAGAAACTGAAGAAAATAAAAGGCAAAGACATAACATTTGTACAGTAATCCAAGCAACAGAAAATAAAAAGACTAGAAAATATCTCTAGACAGCAGCAACGGTAAGTTAAATGGTTTTGGTCATCAAGAAATAGTCATATCCAATCCAACAAAGATAATTCCAGTTCCAGGATGCATTTCCCACTCTGTATATGAAGGCAAGACAAAACTCCCACAAAGACCTTATTTGCTCAAAGAATCTACTGAAAAACAAAAGTTAGTCCTTCACTAGCAGACATAGACACACAACTTGATTCTTTCCAAACACATTTGACACTGGTCACCTCATTGATCCACCTTTTTGGCACACCACACTCCCAACCCAAGTCTTTAACACATGGGCATGACCAAAGGGTTCTGCTAGCCAACTTTAAATGGACTAAAGGATGATTGACAGTTTTCCCACACTCTTATAAGTGAAACACCATTGTGTGCCAAAGTGCCAGCGGGGTTGTTAGTCACTACATGTTACTTGATCCTTAATCACCAATTGTCAGCCCAATTTACGTCAGCTCCCGAGATGCTCTAGATATACATACAACACATGCAGTATGAAGATATGTATACACATGTGTTGAATCATCACAGATAAACAAACCCTAAATTTAGAGGAAATCTTTTGCCGACCGCTTTGAAATTTCCCAATCAAATTGCATATAGATGTGGAAATTGGTTCATATGAACCCACTTTCCAGACAAAATTATCAAATTTAGGCTGAAAATATTAGAATCCAGCTAGAGAACACATTGAATCTATTACAAGACATATATACACACACATACACATGTCCTGAATCTCATCAGCAATAGCGAGATATATATATATATATACACATATACGTTTCTGTATATATCCATACGTGTGTATCTGCAGAACTTACCAGTCAAAGTTTCCTCTCCGGCGCACGAAAGGACTTCACACGCCTTCTGGTCGAAGAAACCCTAGACAGACAGACTGACCAGTTACTGGTTAGGGTTTCGAGCATATCCGAAGTGATTTATTGAAGGAAACATTACACTTTAGCCCCTCAATTATGACGTATTTCTAATATTTCCCGTTCAACTGTTATATTTTTCACATTGTCCCAATTGCTAGCGCCTATTACAAATTCAACAAAAATTATTTTATTTTACCCCCTAGTTATGTTATGTTTTTTACTTTGCTATTACACGTTGCTAATTTCCATCCAAAAAAATTATAAATATTTATGTTTGGGACAGAATAAATAATTTAAATAGTTGATAGAATAGTATAAAAAAAATTAATAACTAAAATTGAGTCTATATAGTTAAGAGTCAAAGTGTAATTTTTCATTTATGGGAAAAAGTAAAGTTAGAATAAATATTTGGCTTAACCAATACACCATGATAATATTATCTATTATCTTATGACGTAACCATCCATTAATTTATTAACATCATCACATGATGTAACCATCTTTTAATCTATAATATAAAATAAGACGAACTTTAATAAGTTCATTCGACGATCTCAAATATATTCATTCAATGATCACCAACATCTCTCTCAAAACCATTCATATTGTATTATGTTTTCAGTCTCGGTTACTACTAGTTTATAATATAAAATAAAGTAGGCTTCAACAAGCTTATCCAACAACTTCAAATAGACTCATCTAACAGCCATCAACATCTCTCTCAAAACTATTCATATTGCACGGATTACTCATAATCTATATAATAAAATAGCTTATAATTCAAATCTGAAAAGATAAATAAAATAAATTTTACTATTTGCGGTTGAAATCACTTTAAATTTTATTTTAAAGTTAGTCTAACGACTAATATTAACACCCTAAATTTAATAGGAAAAATAGACTCTTAAGGGTGTGTTTGGAATAACTTTTTTAAGTACTTTTAGAAATTATTTCTCATAAATACTTAAAAAAAAATTGTGTTTAAAATCGTTCCACCACCACCACCACTGCCGCCGCCGCTGCCCGTCCCCTCCCCCACTGCCACCACCGCCACTGTTGCTATCGCTGCCGCCACCGTCACTACCGCCACCGTCACCGCCTCCTACTACCATTATTGTCGCTCACCATCTCTCACCCCCACTATAAACCGATACTTAAATTATTTTTATTTTTCTATGTGTTTGTGATTTAATTTTAAATATAAATATAATATGTTTATTGTTTTTATTTTTTATTATTTTATGTTTTCATGTACGGACAGTAACTATAAATAAATAAGACAACAAATGAATCCTCCTAAAACTCATAATTACCTGTGTAATACATAACCCAGGAGAAAGTGGGTCTATTTTATCTTTTTTGTTATTTTTTTATTAGAAGGTTATTATTACACCTAATATTTACTCCTAAAAGTGGGGTGTCTGCTCATCCATGCTAATATTACTAACCAGCCCCTACTTATTTGCGGTTTCCTAATCGAGTGGCCTGTAACTAGAAGGGCCTTTTGGTTCTTTTCAGAGACGTTCTTCTTGTTTTCACAAACAGTCTTGTGTTTTCAAAATATGTTCACACACCCCAAAAAAAAAAAAAAAAAACAGTCAAACACGCATTTGTTGTCCGTTTTTACAAAAATTAAAAACAAAAACAGAAAAACAAGAATCAACAAATTACAACCTAATGCACCCTTAAGTTTTTGACAACCTAAGGAGGGATGGAGAACCCTTTTTTCTTTTTTTGGACAAGGATAGAGAATTTTCTTTAGTTTGAAGAAGATAATCTCTTGAATTCTATTAAATTGGTGATGTATATTAGTTGAATAAATAAACATGTTTTTTTTTGTTATAGAATGTTCAGACTTGCGTCGACTACTCTCTTGAATTCTAAACATACATCAGCACTAAATATTACAACCTTAGATTTGTTTCATTTGAAGCCTTTGGGCTAATAATCATATGCAAATTGTATCTACTGATTTAGAGTTTTATTTAAACTTGATAACTCAAAATAATAATTTTTAAGACCTTTTTTTTTTTTTTTTGTTAGGTATCTTTAAAATATTTTTATTCAAATTATCAACAATAATAAGTATGTTTTATCTTACTCTTCCAGGGGTGAGCTGGTTTGAAAGGTTTAGATTTTGGTCAAACCGTTTAAGAAACTTGTAATTAATATATATTTTTCGTCCATGATACCCATACATATCGATAAACAAATTTCAATGTTAATTGACTAGTGCATTGCTGTATGGTACAGAGTACAGACACAAATTTGATTCATTCCCATAAACTAAAAATAAAACCCATTCCCAATTAGTTGTTCAATTTGTCAAACATTTCATGGGCCGCACACAAATGTCAACTCCAGGCAATGGAAATTCTAACTATATCCCTGGGGTTATTACCTCTTTCACTCCATTTAGTTCAACTCAAGTCTTATTTAACGTAATTATTCCTAGAATCATGGACAATATGGGAAGGATCGAGTTGTGATTAGGTTGCTAATTGGTGGGCCGGGGGTGGGGGAGCTGCACAGGAATAGAAATGGCATAGTCTACAGGGCATTACCCAATCAAAAACCTCCAAAATTTGATTTTTTTTTTTTATAGCTAAAAAACTCTCCGAGACCGCGTCGCTTTGGACACATCTCTACAAGAATAAATCACAAATACCTACAATCAACTGCAAATCACATATATTAATTAATTCCAAAAGACACCAATGAGAATAAAATTCTGAACTTCGAATTTACAGTTCTTCCAAAATCTAACCCTATACCGCTGGACTACCTGTTCAGATTAACAATTGATGAATTTTAAGTGCACAAAGATGAGGAAGTATCTTCCACAACAAATAAATTGATGAAGGAAGAAGGGTTGTAGTTGAAAATTTTGGTGAAAATCAAATAACTCTAAATTTTTTAGTCTTTCTAGTTGGAAAACTGGATTTCTTCAATGCATGCTATATCAGCCCCTCTAAAATTCAAGAAAGATTTGCAAGAAATCGCCAGTTGAGTTGGTCTGTCCAAGAAAGACATGGGAGTATTTGGGCATTGCTTTGCTAATGAAATATACACGCAAAAACAAACAAACATGGAGGTGCTTCTTCTCAGAATGGAACCAGGCCAAACACATCTAATTTTATATGCCTACAAGAAAGCAATCCACATTTGATGATGAGGATCAGTTGGATTACTCAACAATGAACAGTTTAAAGCCTTAAGAAAAATATATCGGATTTGTTAAGCTTACAACACCACCAAACTAATTCTGGTGCAACATATATCTCGCACAGAGTAACCAAAACAGTTTTCTACAAGTCTAAATAAACACTGATATGTAGCGATCATACATCATACCACTGCAATTTAAATTGGCTTATAATGATTTATAGTGTAAACCAACGTGATAACATAAGCAAAAAAAATAGCAGCAACGGAAGTTTTGCCTTTCTATGGGCTTCAGTGTGTCATATGTTAGCATTCTCCTTCAAGTGGCATGAAAAACAGGAAAACAAAATGCAATATTGGATGCAATACAGCAAAAATAAACAATAATAATAGATAATAAACCATGAGTACACATTTTAAATGCTACACATAACAGGGGGGGAATTTCATAAAAGCGAATGTCCAAAAGGAACAACATTGCCGACACAGACTGCCTACTAAATCATATAAAAGGAATGAGGCATGAACCATATCAACCAGAGAAATACCCTCCATTGAAACATGTACTAGAGGACCAAATATTCAAATTGTAAAAACAAATTCCAGACATCAGAAAACTTTACCCCTAATTCACCAAAATAAAGTCCCAAATTCAAGATATCTCCTAACACAATATTGAGATTGTAAAAGTTAAAGTCCACCCTCATCCATTACCCATACACATCTTCCCAATCATTGAGCACCAAAAGACATTCCAACATCTTATAAGTTGTACTTATTGTACCTCCTTAAATAAACAACTCCTTATACTCCCCATTTGCAAGCTGGCAAACCTGGTTATAAGTATGTGTATCTGCAAATGAAAGGGAAAAAGTGTCCTTTAGAAGCAAAATGATAGATCATCCGACAGAATTCAGGAGTATTTGATTGATATAAGTTCATGCACCTTGTTTTTTTTTAAATTTTAAAATGGCCAATCCGAGAATCGTTCTAAAGAACATCCTTTTTTAATTAATCATATATGGTAAACATATTCCATGAGAAATCTACAGATGGAGAAAAGAAATCGACAAATGGAGCTAGAGATACCTAGTGAATATTTTCATTCACACCATCTTTTTCATTCATATAAGAAAAAGAGGGAGAAAAAAATCGACAAATGGAGCTAGAGCTTACCTAGTAAATATTGATATTGCAAATATTCTGACTCAGATATACCAATTACAGGAATCAATTAGAACTCACAGCAAATCTTGAATTTGAAAGATGCATATATTATATAAAGCATCCACATGAGTTAACATCTGGATGGAATTACTTAGCCATGGTAATTAACTGAGAATGGGACAATCATTTTTAAGACCACACAGTTCCTGAGTTTTTATTTTTGATTGATACAAGCACATGATGGTTTCCAAAATTCCATTAGAATTGAGAAGTACACAAAGGGTTATAATCACGAATGAAATGCAGAAGCCTCGCAGGTGTACAATGACAACATAAAAGCAAAAAGACTTCCAAAAGGTTCCATAAACAATCAGCAAGGATAAAAAATTCGTTTGAAAACGGTCGAACCGTTTCCGTTTCCAATGAGACCAAAACAAATCGGCGATTGAATCAAAATTACAATGCTTTGATGTATTCAAAGTGTTCTGAAATGTTTCGGCATATTTACGCCAATACTTTTAGGTATTTCAAGATATTTTAATATAGAATTTTTTGTATCCATTTCTATTGTCTTTGAACCGTTTTCAAAATATTTTCAAAACTTTTTCATTTTCTACATGGCTGAAACAATACAACGAAACATGACAGCCAGCTAAAAAGTTATTGCTATCCAATAGCAGATTCAGAAGAAAGGACTACAGATTAACATTGCTCAAACTATTCCATCAAAACAACAGAAACTGATAAAAGTAAAGTTTCATAATTGAGCGTCGAATTCATACCAAAAGTATCACCAAAATTGTTCCAGGTTTCAGCCCTTATGGATTGGTTACCGTCTGCAATACCAATTACTTCAACAAAATTCGAAAGAGTGAAAGGCGGAGGACCTTTTATGACTAACTGTTGGTCATCTGTGGATTTTCCAACTATGAAGCCACCATCGGACTGTACAACCTGAACCACTGCTCGAACCCTCCGTCCGACATACATCCGTAGAAGCTCAGCGTTGACCAAAACCCTAGGGTTTAATGTATCCATGGTCTTCAATACAAAGCACATAAACCATCACTCTAAAATCACCGTATTAAAACAGTTAGTGTGGCTCGAGAATTTACCTGATTATCAGATTAAGTCACCGGAGAATAGGTCGGAGTTTCTTTCGTTGATCGTTAGAGTATCTCCGATCCGAGCACCGCAAACTAAAAAGCCCTTTTTGAACGAGTGAATAGTGCCTTTGTGATTTGAAGGGGAATGGTAAAAGTTCCCGCCATCTAATTTGCGGCACTAATCGAGGGCCCCATGGTCGGTCGTAGGGTGCAATTCCGATGGGTTAGCCGGACAGAGAGGTCATCCCTAGTCAAATTTTAAGTATATAATTTTCTATTTTAATCCTAATTCTAATACTACCTCAATTTGAGTACTGTCCGGGTTTAATTCAAATAGACTTTGGTTGAATTTTGGTTACTTGATTCGAACTATTTTTGGATTAAAATTCGGGTGTGACTCAGGTTACTTAATTCAGATTGATTAAAAAAAAGAGAAATGACGAGTAAGAGAGGAAGACTAAGAGTCTGAGACCAGATAAATGACAAGTGACGAATAAGAGAATGATTTGAAAGTGATGAAGGCCCAGAAATAAAAACTTGAAGTAAAGTAAAAGTTTGAACTCCAAAGAATGAAGATAAATATTAACTCTAGTTAAATATATTTATATATATTCGGGTTGACCTTGACAACTTGAGTTTTCAATCCAAAATTTACCTGAATTTAATTCCAGTTGAAATTTATCCAACTCAAGTATTAAAAATTTTAATTCAAACTCTTTTTACTGAATTGAAGTCGGGTTAAATTCGAATTGGGCCGTTCCATTTAATTGGCTTATGGATAATCCGATTGTCCATTGGGTATCTATGGATGTTTACATGCAATTCGCTCACTTGTGGAAGAGTGGACGAAAAGGGAAGGTCTTGAAGTTTTTTGACTTGCATTAAAGCTATTCTTATGTAGAAAGAAAACCGAAGTCCTTTCACTTTGAGAGCAATGAAGAAAGAAATCTATTCTTATATTTGAATTACATTAAAGCTTCCACGTTTTTTGGCAATTGTTGGATAAGTGATAGTGCAAGCAAAGCCCCGACCTATATAGTGAGAAGGCGAGTTTTCAACACTTAGATGTCAGAAGATCTTGATGTGAGTAGACTTTGTAAGATGCACTATAATAAAAAATCAAGTCTCACCAGCTCAATAGCCCCTTCTCTTAGGGTAGCCTACATCCATATTTATATATGAGAGAAAAATAAAAACTGCAAAAATAAAAACCCGCAAAGAAAATTTAAAACAGATGAAGAATTGCTGGGGTTGTCAGCATCCAACTGCAATCCATGTGGTCAAAAAAAAAAAAAACTGCAAGCTTCATTTCTCTTTTAGTTTCTTGGATATGGCAAAGACAGCTCCAGCCACAGCCACTATGATTCCTGAAACAATGATGGCAGACTTGAGTGATTGCAATGCATCCTTCCTTTCCATCTCTTTATGTTTTTTTGTTGCTTCAGCTTTTTCCTGCCAATACAAACAATTTGTGGCGTTATCAGTTTTTTTCATAGTGATTTGGGTGTCACGTATTGAGTCATTCTGACAGCATCTCCTCGTGTGCGATTTATAAGACTGTATAGACCTGATTGTTTCAGCAATGGCCTAATACATTAGGTTGTCGGGTTTTTTTCAGTAAATATTAGCACCAAATAATTTCATAAATCGGAAAAGTTAAAGGGCTTATGAACTTCATATTCATTTGTTTTCTGTAAATTAATGTGATTACCAATCTCCCAAGTATATTTAGGCTCACTATTTATCTCTTATAACAGTATGCTATGATTTGCAATTCATGGATCCTCAGTTTCTTCTCCTCACACATAATGGGTAACATGTAAAAAGAACAATCGCACACAAAATACAAAACAGTCAAACATAAGATTGGATGTATATATATGAATTCTTTGGCACTCTTCCCTTACAAGTCAATTTTCAGGATAAATTCTATTCATGGATACATAACAATTGATATCAGAGCTAGTCACCACATCGAGTATGAGATCAAATGCAATGTGATTTGGAGCTTTCTCTGGTTGAGTCACGGAAAGGGTGACCTATAAACTAGATTAAAATGACTTGGTATTATCTATGGACATAGTACTATTTCATTGAATCATAATAGCTAAGTGGAGTCACCAAAGAGAAAGCAAAGAGGTTGAGTCAGTGTTATTATTTGTGGGGGCCCATCGTATACATCAGCTATGGAAGCGTGATAAAATGTCATGATCCCACATCGATTAAAAATATGATTAAATGTGTGTATATAAATTATTGGACATCCTTTCGTTGCAAGGTAATTTTCAGGCAAGTTACATGAGTACATAACAAGAAGGTTTCATCATGTAGGCAGCTATATTCCATACAGGGAGGCGACGACCAGGCTGCGATGACGGGAGTCTTGTACACTGCTTACGTAGATCACATTCACTAAAAAGATTTTTTTGTAAGAAATTGGTGAAGTTTTTTTCTATTTGTTTCACAAAAAAAAAAAGGCAGTACCTAAATCGCAAAAAAAATTACCTTAATCTCCAACGACGTAGCCACCTTTGATGATATGGGATCGACCTCAAAATTCTTGTTCCGCCCAGGATTCAACTCTCTGTCTGCATCTGCTGCCGAAAAACTTCCCTCCGAGCTTTCCATTCTCTTGACCAGAAATTTCCCTCTTCAAATTAATATTTCTTCCTCAGTTCCTTTCCCTTCAACTATGCAAAAAGAGAGAGAGAGAGAGAGAGGAAAAAAGGATCGACAGAGGCTTTTCAAATCAGCAACAAAGGAAATTTCACCCAACATATGTCAGAATTTCCATAAAGGGCTACCATATATTGTGAGAGGGATCTCAACCGCTTCCTATTCTTGTTCCCAATGCCCAAATTGCACTCGTCTGTTGCCTCTCAACAAGTTTTTTTTTTTTGAGTACCGCTTGGAGGTGTCAGGGTTCGTATGTGAATTTCGATTAATCTTCTCTCTTATCTTATCAAAAATAGATTATTTAAGTTGGGATTAAAAAATTTATGAGGGATAAATTTCATGTGATCTGATCTCAAGAAATTGTCAAAATTTAAATTCAAGACATTTAGATTTACTAGCAATACACCACATGCGTTGCACGTGAATAATTTTTTTTTTAAAAATTAATAAATAAATATTTGGTATATGGGTACTTGAATTAAATCTGATCTCAAATTTACTAAATATATTTTTTCATCTCTCATACTCTACTATAAAACTTTTGAAAATTTTGTATATTTTCAAGTGTTATTGTTCTAACTTTAAGAAAAATAATAAAAAAAATAAAAAAAATAATTAAAGTTCTATTTTGTTTCTACAATTTTGTAATTGAAAGTGATTTTTTAGTGATGTTTGAAAATTAAATTTTTTAAAATTAATTTGATTAAGATTCCACTTACAAATCATTAAATAAAATAAAAATAATTATCAATATACCTTGTATTGGAACTTATTGTATTTAGGATTAATAGGTCAATTGAGATAAAATTTAATATACTGGGCCATAATATATATTATGAAGCATATTAAAATTTTTAAAAAATTCAGGTTTTCACATAAAATGTTAACACAGTGTAAAAAATTCACTGCGACTAAAAAATCATGTAAAACTATATATATATTATTTTTTATTTTAAAAAATAGTTAAACATTTTGATAAAAATAAAATATACATATGTAATCATAATATTATCTTTATAAATGAGATGCGTATTATTATATTGATGGAGTTTTTATAAAATTTTGTTAAAATGTAAAATAATGCACATATTTTTTAAGAATAATATAATTAATCAAAAAGTTTCATAAAAATTGACATTTATAAATAGAGAATAGATAATTAGAAAATTAATTTGATTAAAATTGTACTTATAAATCATTGAATAAAAAAAATAATTATCAACATACTAATCATATTAGAATCTTACTGTATTTAGGATTATCTAGATTAATTGGAATCAAATTTAATATACAATGCTATAATATATACTATAAAACATATTAAATTTAAAAAAAAAAAAATTCACATAAAATTTTAACAAAGTCTGAAAAGTTTACTGCGACTAAAAAATCACGTAAAACTATATATACATTATTTTTTATCTTAAAAAATGAAAGGGTTAAACATTTTGATGAAAAATAAAATATAAATATGTAGTCATAAGGTGAGTAATATTATATGAAGAAATTTTTGAAGCCTTTTTTGAATATTTGTTAAAACTTATAATGATGCATATATTTTTTAAGAGTAATATAATCAATCAAAAAATTTCATAAAAATTGACATTTATATATATGGAATATATGACTAAAAGTGATCTTAGACATAATTTAGAGATTTAAATACATAAAGATATGATAATAATTTAGATATTAAGTGTAGAATGATAGAATGACTTTTTTAATTATTTGTGAGGGTAAAATAGTGAATCAAAAGCTTTTCATGTTAAGGTACTTTTATTAGTAGTATATATATATATATATAAATATAGATATAGATACATCATTTCTGTTACTATTTGAGTTATTCTTAAGATTATTTGACTGATTATTCATTTTCATGACACATGCAATGAATTTGGACGTTTGATACGATACTGGTTATAAGTGTGTGAGCAAGGAAATAGGTGAAACAAACATGATGATCATATAGTCATGTAGAGTGTGAGCTGCTAATTGGGATTTAGGAAGTTAATTATTATTATTATTATAACATTGGAAAGTTAATTAACAATTAACCCATAGTAATAAACTATAAGTAATAATATGTATCTCAAATTTATAATTTAAATTTGTATTTTAGATCAAGGAGGACCATTGGATCAGTGAGTCCAATCAACTTTTTTAAATGGAACTCACTGATCTAATGGTTCTCCTTAATTTGAAATACAAATTTAAATTATAAATTTGAGATAAATAACACTATGCATAAACTATTACTATAGGAAGATTAGTACACCACACCCCCACCTTCCCCCTTTTTTTAATAGTATAACTAACTGAGACAGAGGTTGTGGTTCATTCTTTCAAATCATGATATACTAGATCTACAGTTGGGAATTGTTTTGAGTATCATAGTTCGAGAGACATTTATGAGATTTACTCATACAAATAACTCAAATCGAGATTTACGTTTAAAAATTATTTGGAAAATACTATTTAATCTAAATTTGTAACCCAAATTTTTATATCAAATGAAGGAGGATCATTGGATGAGTAAGTCTCGTAAACTTTTTTAAATGGGATCCACTGATCTAATAGTCCTCCTTCATTTTGGATACAAATTTAGATTACAGATTTGTGTTACATAACATTGCTCAAATTACTTTGGATAAAAAAAAATTTATTTTGACCTAATTTAATGACTTAATTTTTATAACCTAATTCAATGCAACCATTAAATTAGAGCAAAACTTCATTTAACATTATAACTCATAATTAATTCAATAATTGGATTGAATTAGGTATTCAAATTGAGGACAAATGTGCTTGCTCTTCTGGTATGTCATCAAAAAAAAAATTGTTAAATTGTTAGGGGCATTTCAAGCAGTTTATGCACATTTCGAGTAATCTCTTCTTCAGTTCAGTCAAATGCAGGTCCTTCATGCCGAAATTAAGATATTTATGAGGGATAAATCTCGGATGACCGAACCTCAATGGAATGTCAAGACTTTAACTTATAACGTTTAGATTTACAATTTTTCTTTTAGAAAATATAATGGGTCGTTTAGTTGCAGTATTAAAGTGTGGATTACAGCGTTATAATAAATTAAAATTCTCTAATTTAACCTTATATTACATTTGGTTGCAAAACGTATTGTCTTATTTTAAATACTTATCCAAATAATACACTCTATCTTTACTATTGAGTTGATTATAATATCACTTGGAGAGGTGATATTATAGTCTTGTTCAAGCGTATTAAGTTTTAAATTTATTATTTTACCCACAAAAAAAAAACATTAATAACTGGATAAGATTGATAATTTTTTGGTCAATATATAATTAATACCTTTTTATCTCACCCTTAATCGAATGTCTTATCAAACACTGAATTACAATGCGTAATATTTTTATCTCATATTTAATTTTGTATTTTATTCACTTATTCTGAATTAGTTTGTATTACTTAATACAATTCAATAATTCATTATTTTACAATACGATTACGAAAACGAGTTAGACAGAATAACTGTAATAGAAGTGAAAGACATGCGCATACGAGGAGATAAATAGGTGATTTATCTGATTTTAGAGATAAAAAAGTAATTTGAAATATAATATACCCCATCTAGATTATAATACCGCCGCTATTGAAATAGACTTATTGGTACGGATATAGTGTATTAAAAATATGCACTTGATATACGTATTTAAAATAGTACTACATATTATATATAATTAATTTTGAATTAACTAACAAACGAGGTACAAAACACAATTAGACCAATTTTAATCTAATATAATAATTTATTCCCATAATACAACAAGTAAACGAGCTCAAACAAATGAGTACAAAATGATTTATCCTCTAAAATAAGTGGCTTTAGATGGGTGTCACAAGACCGAAGCAGCCAAGTGTAAACAAACTTCAGTACAAAATGTCCACACAATTAGGGTCGCAATTTGGGTGGGTCAATCTGAATCCGACCCAAAAAAATTAAAATTTTTAATACTTGGACAAAAAAATTTCAACCCGCGCGGGTTTTCGGTTTCAACCTCTCCATGCGCCTCTTTGCCTCTTTCGTTCTCTCCCTTGTTCTCTGTCTCCATCTCTCAGCCTCTCTCACTCTCTCGGCTTCCCTCTCACTCACTATCAGTCTTGATCTGTGCCGAAGACCACAACGAAGACCAGCCTTGATCTGCGCAAAACCTTTGTGGCTATGGCATCTCAGATCTGGTGGGTGTGGTGGCGATGAGCAATGGTTGTGGTGGCAGTAGAGGTGGCGGCGATGGGCAGTGGCTGTGGTGGTTTCTTCGATATACTCAAGATCTGAGATTGGCTTTCCATTGTGCACAAACACTAGAACTCGTTTGAAGTGGCTGTGTGCTGTCTTGGTGAGGTGTTGGCCTGGTGGAGAACTCCCCTATTCTCTGTTTTTTTTTTTCTGCAATTTTTTCGTGTTTCTGCTGTGCTGGTTGGTTGCCGTTGATGCTTGCTGATTTTTGTTGTTTGTTGCTGAGTAATCTTGTCGCTGATTTAGAGGGAAATGGATTGATATGCTTATCAAGATTGGACTGAAACCCAAACTCAACCCGACAATAACCCGAAATCAAGAAACCCGAATTCAACCCGGATTAAAATTAGGGTTAAAATTAGAGTTAAAATTAAAATTAAAGATTATTCAACCCGCCCGAATTCCACCCTTGCCCACATTCGAACTTACTCGTGCTATGACCAGACCACCCTTGCCTCTGCACACCACAACCAGACTCTTGTCCCACCTCCAAGCCACCAGAACTTACGCAGCCACCCTATGGAACACTCAGCTGCGAGAACTAGTCAGAAAGGGCCTATTCCAACAAGGCCTCTCTCTCTATCGTCAAATGTTCCGTTCAGGCATTTCCCCGAACGCCTTCACCTTCCCATTCGTCCTCAAATCCTGCGCCAACCTCTCTCTCCCCGTCCCCGGCGCACAACTCCACTGCCATGTGGTAAAAACCGGGTGCGAATCCGAACCCTTTGTCCAAACTGCTCTCACCTCAATGTATTGCAAATGTTGTAGAACTAACGATGCACGGACGCTGTTCGATGAAAATCCCGAGTCAAGAAGACTTACCGTCTGTTATAATGCTTTGATAGCTGGATATGTTCAAAATTCATTGTTTTCAGATGGGTTTGCTATGTTTCGTGCAATGAGATTGGCGGGAATGGAAGTTAACGCGATTACAATGCTGGGATTGATTCCGGGTTTTGTTGGTCCAATGTATTTGGGTTTTGGGATCTCTGTGCATTGTTATAATGTGAAGTATGGTTTGGACACTGATTTGGCTGTAGGGAATTGTTTGTTGACTATGTATGTGCGGTGTGGGTCGGTTGAATTGGCAAGGAAGTTGTTTGATGACATTCCTGAAAAGGGGTTGATTACTTGGAATGCTATGATTTCTGGGTACGCGCAAAATGGCCTTGCTACACATGTTTTAGACCTTTATCGTGAGATGGAATTGTCTGCTATAAGTCCCGATCCTACCACGTTTGTTGGGATTTTGTCATCGTGTGCTAATATTGGTGCTCAGAACGTTGGTCGTGAAGTGGAACAAAAAATTGAATGTGGTGGGTTTGGATTTAATCCGTTTCTGAAAAATGCTTTGATTAATATGTATGCTAGGTGTGGTAATTTAGTGAGAGCTAGGGCAATTTTTGATGACATGCCAGAGAAGAATTTAGTTTCATGGACAGTTATTATAGGTGGGTATGGAACGCATGGACAAGGAGACATTGCGGTGGAACTTTTTGATGAGATGATAGGGAGTGGAATTCAACCTGATGGAGCAGTCTTTGTTAGTGTTTTGTCTGCGTGTAGCCATGCAGGATTGACTGATAAGGGCTTGGATTATATTACTGCCATGGAGTGGAATTATGGATTGCAGCCAGGTCCGGAGCACTACTCTTGTGTAGTGGATCTTTTAGGTAGGGCAGGTAGACTCAAGGAAGCTATGGAGCTCATCGAATCAATGACAATGAAACCTGATGGTGCTGTATGGGGTGCCTTATTGGGTGCTTGCAAGATTCATAGAAATGTGGAGCTAGCGGAGTTGGCTTTTGAGCGTGTCATCGAGCTTGAACCTACAAATATTGGTTACTATGTGTTGCTATCTAATATATACTCTGAGGCAGAGAATTTGGAGGGGGTATTGAGGATTAGAGTGATGATGAGAGAACGGAAGCTCAAAAAGGATCCAGGGTATAGCTATGTTGAGTATAGAGGGAGGACTCACCTCTTTGTGGCTGGAAGCAGAAGTCACGCTCAAACAGAGGAGATTTATGCAATGTTAAATAGGTTAGAAGATCTAGTGAAGAAACTTGATATGCCTGACAAGAATGATCAGGAGAGAAAAATGAAGGACTCATTAGCGGGATGGGAGTGCACAGTGAAAAGTTGGCGATTGCATTTGCACTCTTAAACACTGGCATGGGAATGGAGATTCTAGTGATCAAGAACTTAAGGGTATGTGGTGATTGTCATCTGTTTATAAAGCTGGTTAGCAAGATTGTGGATCGTCAGTTTGTTATTAGAGATGCAACTCGTTTCCATCATTTTAAAAATGGAATCTGTTCTTGCAATGACTACTGGTAATGATCTGCACACTCGTCCAAACTTAATCAAATGCATGGAAGATTACATGCGGGCAAGTAAAATTGATCTGTAAAAGGGTTTTGATATTTCTATAAAGAGTACAAAATGAGAGGTTTCCAAAGTCCCCTTTTTTCACTATGACATATCGATACATAGTTGAGGAGGCCGATCACGAACGCTACAGGCGTGGGAGTGATCCTGGTCAGAGAAGGCTAAGACGGCGCCTAAAATGAAGTGGTAAGGGACACTTCGTTTCCTTTTCCCTTCAGTTCTCATTCTACACACTATTCCTCACTGAATTTTCCTCTTCTATTTCACAATCAATAACGTTACTTAAATGACAGGATCCCCATTGTAATACTTGATACTCTCCTCTAAGAATAACACCACAAACCTATAAAATCATAAATTAAAAGGATGCATAAAATTGCAGCTTCATAATGCATTTTCAATTTCCATATATATTATTTGGTAATTGATAAACTGCAATGGAGATAGTGCCTTTGTTTGAAGGTTGATGATTGACTTTCACAGATTCTTTTCTTCTTCCATAGATAATGGATGTGTAATTGCAACTTCTGTTTAAATACTGGTTAATTCTTTTTCTTCTAGGAATGTGTGGCTTGTTCTTTATTTAGCATCGGGGAAAGGGATTCAGGTACTTTTCTTAATCCTATGATATAATAATTACTCTTTTTTGCTCACTAATACAAGGCTGCATTTCTTGAGTCAACAACTTATCAATCTAAAAAACCAAGATCATTTCGTATTCTGGTAATTTTAAGCATGTTTTGGTAAAATTAAGACATTCTTTTGTATTAAGAAAAGAATTTAGATCTTCATTATTGTCGAGTTTAAATTCGTGTGATTTCTAAATGTTAAGAATTATCTGGGTGATTTGATTATAACAGTTGTCTAGCAAGGACTAGCATCAGTATTCGAGTAGAAAAATGACTTCAATAGGAGGTAACTACCATTATCTTTGAAGAGACGTGATTCGATAGTATCAAGAAAGGGGATCAACTTATTATGATAGCTTTGGGGGCTACCAATGATTGGGCCGGTCTTGCATTTACATGTCCTATCAAGGAAAGCTTTATTGGTATGTTCTGTCAACCTGTTTTTCCTTTATATTTTTATGACTGGTGTACTTTGAGTTTCTTTTTGAATATAATATAATTTAATCTAAATGTTGATAGTCTCACCGTAGAATTCATCATGCTTACTCAGGCATGGCATGGTTGAATTACCAATCCGAAGTATGGATCAAGTTCGATTTTTTTTTCCTTTTACACTCATGTGTTTTTCTTTTTTGTCTTGTTATCTGTATCATCTATTGGATGTAACTGTTGCTTGACCCGATTTCAAGTAGGCATGAATGTTTGATCCCGAAGATGTATATGTCGAAAATATTCATAGGGCTACGTCCTTGACAATTACAGTGAAGTTTGTGGATACAGCCACCAAATACGTGAGAACGTGCCATCTTTGGTAATTGGGAGTGTTGAAAGGATACAAGTGAATTGACAAGAATTGTTTGCAAAAAGAACTCCTATTTAAGCTTTTACTTATTCTTCTCTTCTTCATTCTCCCTAGAGCAAACAGAATATATAACTCTTGGTGTGGTTTTTTAATCTCTTTCTCTCTCTCCCCCTCCCGGGCCTCCCCTGCTTCATGTTCTCCTGCTCATGCTACTCTGTGTAGATGTGTTAGTTTGGCCCACTTCGAAACTGATCGGACAATATCATTTATACATCCTGATGGTTCTTTTGATCTCATGGCATATAGACTTCGTACTCAGGTTCTCTTTTTGGTTCTGTGTTGTAATTTTGATGTCTTATTTTTTGTGGTTTTTTATCAAATTCTTTATTTGTGATGTTGACTAGATTTATTATTCATTTTCGGGTAAAGCCTCTTATATGGGTGGAAGCACAAGTTGAAAGACAATGTAGAAGCCTTATGGAGATAATGGTAAAAGCTCGGAGTCAGTTCAAGGAGCACAGGTATGTTTATAAAATTTTTACTATGCAGTTTTATCTGTACCAACTCCACCTTTTAGCATATTTCATTTTTGGCAGTCTAATGTTTAGAATTTTCCAAGCCACTCAAGAGTTTGTTTTGACTTTGCAACACTGCAGCAAATGTTGAAATTGAGTTGCCTGTGCCATCAGATGCTACCAATCCAAATATTTGGACATCGATGGGATCTGTTGGTTATGCTTCCGAAAATGATGCATTGATGTGGAAAATAAAATCTTTTCGTAGTAGCAAGGTAAGGGTTGGCTACGAATTACTTTGGCATTTTCCCCATTTTCTGCTATTATTTTTACTGTTAGTGGCCATGGTTTCGCCATGCAATTACAATTTATCTGATCTTATTTTGCTTGAACAGCCAATTAGTCTAGGAATATATGTTGAGAGCAGAATTCACCTTTCCTAGCATAACTGATGAAGAAGCAGCTCCTGAGAGAAAAGCTCTCATACGTGTGAAGTGCGAGATACGGTATTTTATTGTTTTAGGAATACATGTATGCCCTTCTGCATATTGTGGCTTCCTTGTTAAATAGAACATTTTGTGTTGTATAATCAACAGGTGTGGTGATTTATACCAAAGCTCCAACCCCCTCCCCCCCACCCCACCCCACTCCAAAAAAAAAAACCAAAGAAAAACAACATAATCAGAGTGATTTCTCTCTATTTTTCCGTGTTTATAGGTGAGAAGTGAGATATTAGTTTCTTAAATTATTGTCAGAAGGCTCTTTTTGGTTAAAGTAATTGAAGTTATGATTATGTTGCTTGCTGGAAAACACAATTCCATCCTAGCTTATCAAATTTATATCACAAGTTGTTGGGAAAGAAGCATTTCATCCTGTTTTATCGATGAGGCATCAAGTAACAATAACTGCTTTGCATCATCACATGTTGTAGCTTGCTTTTGCATGATGGTGCTTCCTGCTGCTGCAGCTTGTTTTCAACTGACAACCACGGTGAGATTTGATTTGAGATTTATGTAACTATTGGTATTTTGTAGGTTCATTACCTGAAGATCATTGAGAAAAGTGGTTACCAGGCTCTTCCTTGGGTGAGATACATAACAATGGCCGGTGAATAGAGCTTTTAACCCATCCCAAGGCTTTTTGAAAAAAAATTTCCAACTAAAGGTTGGTTTGAACATAATTCCCAAACCCAAGTACTTTAAAGCACGTTAGTCGGTCTAACGTTTTTAGGCTTAAAGACGTCAGTCCAAATGACGTCTTTAAGGTTGAAGAGCACAGTCCAAGAACCTTAAAAATGTCAGTGCAATTGACGTTTTAATTAAAAACGTCAGTTGTATAGACGTGTTTAACTCTAGCCGGAAGAACCCATTTTTCCCTCCTCTCTTCTTTCCTTTCCCCTTATTTTCTCTTCTTCCCTCCCCCCCCCCCCATTTGAGCCCTAACTCACTCAGGCGATATCGCAGCACCCCATAGCAGACATTCTCAATCAGCAGCTAACCCTCGAAGCACCACCATCGCAGCACCACCCACGACCACCCAGTGCCAAAACCCATCTACACCTCCTTCAGGCAAACCACCAGCGACCCACCAAAACCCATCTACACCTCCTTGCATAGGTATTCTGTCTTCCCATGTATAAGCCCCTGCTGTATGGAATGCCCCAACCCCAAAACCAATAAAGCGGGAAAAAAAGCTTGTGCATTGTATTTTGCCAGGGTATAAAACAATCTTCTAATTGGCATCCTCTCTTTTCTTTTTTCTTTGTGTGGATGATCTATTGCTGATCTGAAAGTAAGTTCACACACAACGATTTAATTATTTTGTGTTTTATTTCATTTGGGGATTTGAATGGCCCATCCAAGCTGGTTTTGTGTATGGACTTCCTTTCTATTCGTGTTTGTAATTTTTCAATTTTGGGTTTTGGTATTTAGGAGTGGGTGGGGATTGGTTTGAGGAGCTGGGTTTGTGGTGGTGGTGGAGGGCCGAGGGAGAGGAGAAGAGTTGCAGATTTTTCATTCTTGTTTTTTTCTTTTGACTTTACTCTTTACGATAATCTATGTATATTCTTTTGTTGGAAAGCAATGCTTGGATATCTGAAAACTGGTGCAAGGTGGTAGCAATCGAATTTTCTTTTTGAAATAGGTGTGGGCCTTAATCACTAAAAATTTTAAGGGAAAATCACTTTGGCCGGATGGAGAGCTTATTGTGATTTATAGTCTTGGACATCCTAAGTCAGCTGCCATTAGGCTACTGTTTGCATTTCACTGTTTTTGCACCTTGTCAGATGAGGATTTGATGTACTTATTATTAATAAAAAAATTATTTGCATTTATGGATTTTAGGCAAAATAATTTCATTAATAAAGTTGCATGATTGTCCGGTGTTCGAGTGAATAACGATAAAATAGATGTTTGCTTCTTCATGGTCACATACATTTTGTCTTGAATTTGGAAGAATCTAATTTATGACAATGAATTTATCATTTCTGTTTTTATAGCGGGGAGGGGATGAGGGTAGAACTCGCAATCATGTGAGCAGGAGTGAGCCCTTCCCTAACTGCTGTGCAGGCTTGTAGAATTTGTCTTATATGCTAATCAAGAGCAGAAACTTATGATTTATGAGTGCTATTGATCAAATTTACTAAGAGATATGAGGTTTACCTTTTTGCTTTATTTTTTGTTACAGAAAATTGACAAAAATGTATTCTGCCTTTACTTGCCAACCTCTGGAGAAAGTGCAGCAGAATACTGAAAGGGATCGTTTCTTGTCTGTTTCGGAGGTAATGTTCAATCTTTTTACATTACTTGTTATTGTGAGGCAAAGATGCTATAGTGTCATTGCTTATTAGTGAATACCGAGTAGTGGTGTTATGTTCTTATTCAATTCTCCGTCCACTTGTTGGTTGGCCTTTTTAAAATACAGTTATAACATCGGTGGCATCTCACTATCACTGCATTAAGGAGCTTCAATCGGGCAAAACTAATCACCGTGCTTTCATGGCTGCCTTTGTGCAGGCTATGGAGTTTGGTCTCATTGATGGGATACTGAAACAGAATACTAAATGCAGAATCAAATTTCGTGCGATAAGCTATGCAACGTTTGTATGGCATGCCAATGATGAATTGCATACTCAATGTTGTGCATTATGTCCTCTACCGGTGCCTACTAGTTTAAATCCTAGACTCCTTCAAGCTTTCTGCACACAAGCTTAGCCATTTTGGATTCAATCCACCTGGGGATTGTTGTGAACTTCTTAGACTAGGTTGCAGATGTAATATTACAGATTATTAATTTATACAATAAATAAGCATTTTTTTTGTTTTCGATCAGTACGATGATTGAGCAATTCCCGGTTCAATGAACAGGCTTTCTGTATATATATAGGGATGATGCATGTGCCTTGATCTTTTCACAAGCCAAGTTAATATCTTTAAAATGGTAAAAAAATATTTCAAAAATAAAATAAAAAATGTTCAAAAATTACAAAATTTCGACCTTTTGTTATGCAATTTTGCGAATGGGACCGAATTGGATCATTCACTCCCCAGAAATCAGTTCTCCAAAAGGAAGTCCTCACTCTAATGTCCCGTTCAGCAATGGGACAATGCATAATAAAACAATTATACCCCAGGCAGAAGAATTGGCCCTGCAATTTACAAGTTTTTTGGGGTAAGTATGCGATTACCACTTGGTGGCCTAATGGCAAGATATCATCCCATAAAGATCATCCTAGTAATGATCAACCAAGTTCAATTAATGGGAAACGGCATCATCCCGTAAAGATCACCCTAGTAATGATCACCTAAGTTCAATTCATGGAAAATAGACTATTGACTTAATTCTAACGGTTTGGTGAAATTAAAAGTCAAATTAAGTCAAATTATGGCTCTAAGTCGATTGCTACCACCTTGCACCAGTTTTCAGAAATCCAAGCATTGCTTTCCAACCAAAGAATATACATAGATTATCGTAAAGAGCAAAGTCATAAGAAAAAAAAAAAAAAGAATGAAAAATCTGCAATACCTTCTCTCTTACAGGTTGGTGTGGTGCCGGTGCTGATCATTATGAGCCCCTTATTGTTCATATTTCATCGCTTATTTCCCAGGAGAAGGTGGCTACTGTACTCTGAAGTCATTGGTACTGCAGTTTTGTGTCGTAGAGGTCGCTTAGAAGTAGTAATTCAATTTTTTTCCCGGTGTTTGGCTTGCAAGGTTTTCCTCCCAATCTTTTGTAGGACAAAAGGAGAATGTCCATTGCACAGCATTTGATTATTTGGTCATTTCCGAGCCTGAAATGCAGGTTCTTGTGCCTGTATTACCCGAGGAATCAATCCCGTAGTGTGCTGTTTTGTAGTGATTTCACCGGCTTCTGTTTCTGTTTTTGTTTTCTTGAGAGTAGTGTTGTACTGTTCTGTTCAAGCTGGAGTAGTACATTTCTGTTGTATCTGATGCTGGATTTCATTAATCAATGATAGAAATGACTTCTTTCATTTTTTGAAAGAATATTTAAGTGTGTTTTTGAACTGGGTTTTGAAGTGGTTTCCAATGAATAAATAGTAGATGTAGCCCAAGCAGTTATGGATAGAGATACAGCCGATCAGCAAATTAATATGACTTGTGGTGGTAGAGATGGTTTAATTAGAGGAATGAAAGTGAATAATATGAGAGCTCCAAGTTTTTAAATAGCTTGTGATGGTTTAATTAGTAAACAACGTCAAATGGATTGACGTTTTTAAATAGTTCAAAGACGTCAATTGGTCTGACGTTTTTAGCCTAAAAAATCAGACTAAATGACGTTTTTAAAACTGTCTGGGTTTGAGAAATACTTTCAAACCCACCCTCTTTTTTCGAATATTTTTTTACAACCACTCGGGATGGGTCAAAAGCACCCGGTGAATATGAATTGAGGAGGCTTATCTGAAAGCCACACACATATATGTTGGTTTCCAATTTCAACAACTTTGTTTATCGGCTCCGCTTTACAACCTCACCTAGATAAATTGGGGAGCCTTATGGGGAATTAATTGTACCTATTCAGGGTGGTGGTGGCTGATCAAATGTATATTCCTTAGTAATTTTTGGTTTGTCGCATTGTTGTTGTTTGAGATTTGTTGACCAGAGGGAATTAAATGGTTGCTTAAGAATTTTGTTGGAATTCGTTCACTTTTTATGCTTCGATGTTGTTTTCTCTTGTTTTCCCCCATTCTATTTTTCTCTTTTTTCTTTGTTCTTTCCTATTTTTTACTTTGTTTTCCCGGTGCCCATTTCTTTTAGCAGACAACTTCAGCTGTGAAAAACAATCTGATAATACTCTAAAGTGTCTATACAAATTTGGTACTGGGGTGAAAAGTAATCCTTGAAAAGGGTTGTGCTGAATCAACAAGTAAAAATTCAGAGGACTAACTCATGCTACATCAATACGTATAAATTACAATATAGACATATTTTATGGCATTGCAATGTGAGATTTTTTCATTAAATCTCTGAAATAAGAATCCGAAACGGGTTGTGCTGAATACAATACTCAAGGTCCCTACATCAATGATGACAATCTTCAGTTGGAGGCTGATAAACAACCCCCATCCTCCTGTCTGTGTTGTAGGATTAGAACTTCTAAACCTTGCATTTTCTAAGTACTTGGTCGATCAAAAAGTAAGATTGATCTATTCTCTCATGGCAGCATAACTTGTCTAATTGTCATTGGAAATCTCTTGAATTGTAGACAGCCTCTCCAGAAAGAGGTTAAACTCATCTTCTCTGTTCAACATACTGACCCTAACATTCTTGGGATCAGCCCCGAATCACTTTCCACTCCTTGTCATGATCTTATGTGCCCTAAACAACTTCTCAGTCTTCTGCATTCTCTTTGCACTTGATTCAGCCAAAGGCTATTGGCACAAAAAGATAAACCAAGATATCAAAATTCATGTCACCTAATTGTTTTATGATTTCTTCGTTGTATGAATGGCTGGATTCCTCCTCCACCATAGTATTGACTGACAATGGAAATTAAAGATATTATTCACTATGAACACATGAGAATGGATTGTCCAACTATGTTACTTACTTTATGCGATCAACCGTCCAACTGTATCAACTATCTTAGGCTTACGAATCATTATTTATCTTTCATACAAATCATTCTTATAGTAGTGATGGTTTTGCTTCATTATAATCAAATGCTAATATCTGGTAAGATCTCCACTACATTTTGAGCCATCAATTTATTTCCAAGTAATTGAAACATGGGCAAAAAAAAAAAATTAAAATTAAAATAGTTCACGTGCAATGCACGTGTGCACCAACTAGTCACATTAAGAATATGTTGAACCTATTTGTGGTCATGCCTGTCTCCATGGTATCTTGAAACTATTGCACATCATATTTGTCTACACTCCTTACAATTAATCAGGTCTTTCATACCTGTGTAAAACATATCGAGATAGATTATCAATGCATACGAGAAAAGGTGGCTCAAGCTTCTCCCATGACCCGTTTTGTCTCCTCACAAGATCATGTTGCTAATAGTCATACCAAACCACTTTCTCGTGCCTTCTTTCATGTATTGCCTATCCGCTAACCTTCTACTCAACCTAATTTGAGGGGGAGTGTTGAAGCATGTAATGTATAATAAATTTGGAGATAAATAGGTGATTTATCTGCTTTTAGGGATAAAAAAAATAATTTGAAATATAATACACTAGATTATAGTTCCACATCTCGTACTGTTATTAAAATAGACCTAATAGTATGGATGTAGTGTGTTAAAGATATACAGTTGGTATATGTTTTAAATACTATATATTATATATAATTAATTTTGAATTAACTAACAAACGTGGTATAAAACACAATTAGACCAATTTTAATGTAATACAATAATTTATCCCCATAATTCGACTAGTAAACGAGCTAAAACAATTGAGTACAAAATGATTTATCCCCCAAAATAAGTGGCTTTAGATGGCTGTCAAAGGACTGAAATTGCCAAGTGTGAACAAACTTCAATACAAAATGCCCACACAATCGAACTTACTCGTGCTATGACCAGGCCACCCTTGCCTCTGCACACCACAACCAGACTCTTGTCCCACCTCTAACCCACCAGAACCGACGCAGCCACCCCATGGAACACTCAGCTGCAAGAACTAGCCAGACAAGGCCTATTCCAACAGGGCCTCTCTCTCTACCGTCAAATGCTCTGTTCAGGAATTTCCCCGAACGCCTTCACCTTCCCATTCGTCCTCAAATCCTGCGCCAACCTCTCTCTCCCCGTCCCCGATGCACAACTCCACTGCCATGTGGTAAAAATCGGGTGCGAATCCGAACCCTTTGTCCAAACTGCTCTCACCTCAATGTATTGCAAATGTTGTAGAACTAACGATGCACGGACGCTGTTCGATGAAAATCCTGAGTCAAGAAGACTTACCGTTCGTTATAATGCTTTGATAGCTGGATATGTTCAAAATTCACTGCTTTCATATGGGTTTGCTATGTTTCGTGAAATGAGATTGGCGGGAATGGAAGTTAACGCAATTAAAATGCTGGGATTGATTCTGGTTTTGTTGGTCCAATGCATTTGGGTTTTGGGATCTCTGCATTTTTATATCGTGAAGTATGGTTTGGACACTAATTTGGCTATAGGGAATTGCTTTTTGACTATGTATGTGCGGTGTGGGTCAGTTGAATTGGCAAGGAAGTTGTTTGATGACATTCCTGAAAAGGGGTTGATTACTTGGAATGCTATGATTTCTGGGTACGCGCAAAATGGCCTTGCTACAATTGTTTTAGACCTTTATCGTGAGATGGAATTGTCTGCTATAAGTCCCGATCCTACCACGTTTGTTGGGTTTCTGTCGTCGTGTGCTAATATTGGTGCTCGGAAGGTTGGTCGTGAGGTGGAACACAAAATTGAATGTGGTGGGTTTGAATTTAATCCGTTTATGAAAAATGCTTTGATTAATACGTATGCTAGGTGTGGTAATTTAGTGAGAGCTCGTGCAATTTTTGAAGACATGCCAGAGAAGAATTTAGTTTCATGGACAGCTATTATAGGGGGGTATGGAACGTATGGACAAGGAGACATTGCAGTGAAACTTTTTGATGAGATGATAAGGAGTGGAATTCAACCTTAAGGAGCAGTCTTTGTTAGTGTTTTTTCTGCGTGTAGCCATGCATGATTGACTGATAAGGGCTTGGATTATATTACTACCATGGAGAGGAATTATAGATTGCAGCCAGGTCCGGAGCACTACTCTTGTGTAGTGGATCTTTTAGGTAGGGCAGGTAGGCTCAAGGAAGCTATGGAGCTCATCGAATCAATGACAGTGAAACCTGATGGTGCTGTATGGGGTGCCTTATTGGGTGCTTGCAAGATTCATAGAAATGTGGAGCTAGCGGAGTTGGCTTTTGAGCGTGTCATCGAGCTTGAACCTACAAATATTGGTTAATATATGTTGCTATCTAATATATAATCTGAGGCAGAGAATTTGGAGGGGGTATTGAGGATTAGAGTGATGATGAGAGAACGGAAGCTCAAAAAAGATCCAGGGTATAGCTGTGTTGAGTATAGAGGGAGGACTCACCTCTTTGTGGCTGGAAGCAGAAGTCACGCTCAAACAGAGGAGATTTATGCAATGTTAAATAGGATAGAAGATCTAGTGAAGAAACTTGATATACCTGACAAGAATGATCAGGAGAGAGGAAATGAAGAACTCATAAGCGGGATGGGAGTGCACAGTGAAAAGTTGGCGATTGCATTTGCACTCTTAAACACTGGCATGGGGATAGAGATTCTATTGATCAAGAACTTAGGGGTATGTGTTGATTGTCATCTGTTTATAAAGTTGGTTAGCAAGATTGTGGATCGTCAGTTTTTTATTAGAGATGCAACTCATTTCCATCATTTTAAAAATGGAGTCTGTTCTTGCAATAACTACTGGTAATGATCTGCACACTCGTCCAAACTTTATCAAATGCATGGAAGATTACAGGCGGGCAAGTAAAATTGATCTGTAAAAGGGTTTTGATATTTCTATAAAGAGTACAAAATGAGAGGTGTCCAAAGTCCCCTTTTTTCACTATGACATATCGATACACAGTGGAGGAGGCCGATCATGAAAGCTACAGGCGTGGGAGTGATCCTGGTCAGGGAAGGCTAAGACGACGCGTAAAATGAGGAGAGTACAATTTATATGCAAAATGTTGCCCTTTATATTTGACAATCCTAATTTACTAGACTCATGAGCTGTCGAGCTGCCAAAATCTTGAGACATATCTATGCACCAATCTAGACAAATCTCTATATATCTATTCCTTGTAGCCAAAAAGTCAGAAGTTCAAAAAATTTACATTAATGTCAATAATCACATTAAATATATGTTGAACCTGTTTGTGGTCGTGCCTGTCTCCATGGTATCTTGAAACTATTGCACATCATATTTGTCTACACTCCTTACAATCATTTAGGTCTTTCGTACCCGTGTAAAACATATTGAGATTGATTATCAATGCATGCGAGAAAAGGTGGCTCAAGCTTCTCCCATGACCCATTTTGTCTCCTCACAAGATCATGTTGCTAATATTCATACTAAACCACTTTCTCGTGCATTCTTTCATGTATTGCCTATCAAACTAAGCCTCTAGCCTTCTACTCAGCCTAGTTTGAGGGGGAGTGTCGAAGAATGTAATGTGTAATAAATTTAGAGATAAATGTGATGTGTAACAGAGTCAAGATATCATGGAGACAAGCATGATCACAAACATGACCAACATACATTTAATGTGAAAATTGGCATTTAATGTAAACGAGCCCAAAAACAGAGCGTTTAAATACCTCTCATTTTATTTTTATTTTTTTATTTTTTATTTTTTATTTATTGGGAGGAAAGGAGAAGGGAGTCTTGAACCCTTGATCTCAACAAGTTAAAACTTTTACAAGACAAGCAGTACCATTAGACCAAAGGCCGTCACATGTTTCAACAACCTCTTGAACCGGAAGTTTGTCAATGTGTTGTGCAAGTGTAACCATGCTGGGTTGACTGGTAATGGCTTGGATTATTTTGCTGGATTGGAGTCTTGCAGAAGAAAGAAGAAAGAAGAAATATGGGTCATGAGTAGAGGTGATAATTTTAACTCATTAGTCATTTATTCATCTAATCCGTCCATAAATAAATTGGTTGGGTAGCTATATTAATTAATGTGGGTTCTAAATGAGTTAGGTAATATGATTCATTTTAATTAAGCATGTTAATATGGATTAATGATTATAAATTGGTATCCATTGGATTTGAGTATTTATGTTTTTATTAAATAGCACAAGTAATCAAATTAAATAAATATACTAATATACCAAAAAATTCAAACACACACTAATATACTAAAATATAGATAGATATACATTAATACACCGGTACACCAAAACATACATTAGTACACCACCCATGATCGGCAGGTTGATCCATGACCCCACAGTTGACCCATGACCCATGACCCATGGCCCACTGTCTACTTAGACCCATTATGTGTGTGTGAGTGTTTTTTTTTTTATTAAATGTGTTTTAGTTTTTGTATTAGTATATCTATGTGTATTTTTGGTGAATTAGTGTGTGTATTTTTGGTGTATTAGTGTTTGCTTTAGTGTATTAGTGTGTGTATTTTTAATGTATTAGTTTGTGTGTATTTTAGTGTCTTAGTGTGTGCGTGTTATGTTTGTATTCTGGTGTACTACTAATGTGTGTGTGTGTGTTTTAGTGTTTATTAAGAATTTTAATTATTTTATGGGATAATGAGTTTAATCTAATCCGTTATAAACTTAACATATTTAATAAGTGAGTAAAAATTGAATTGAATTTATTTTAATCCAACCCAATTTAACCCAACCGTAACTAACCCAACACACCTATTTGCCACCCTTACTCATGAGCATAACTATTTTGTATTGGGTCTTTTAGGTTGGGCAGATCTACTGGAGGAAGCTTGGACAATTATTGTATCAATTCAGCTAGAACCTGATGGTGCTGCATAGGGTTTGCCCTTTTGGTTGCTTGCAAGATTTAGATAGATGTTGGGCTATTGGAGTTGGCGTTTTATCGGGTCATCGAGCTTGAACCCACAAATGCCATTGATAATGTATTATCATCAACAATTTGTACTCCAATACATATAACTTGGTTCCAGTGTTGAGAGTTCAAGTGGAATGTTTGAAGTCACCCTCAAACAGGGAAACGAGGGACTAAGAAGAATGATGTGTGGCATGGAAAGCATAGTGTGTGGGGCCTGGGATTCTTGTGATGGAGAACTCAAGGGTATGTGAAGATTGTGACTATATGTTTGAAAGTAAATTAGCCAGGTTGTGGCTCGGCAGTCAGTTCCACCATTTCAAAATTTGATTATCTTCTAATCAAGGTGTTTGCAGGGGATAAGCTTCCAGGGAGCTGTGTGGCCCAAAATGTTATGAGCAATACTGGCATGGAGGGTTTCAATATGAGATCCTGACCCTGAGTAGTGGTGTCAATTAGAATTTCGGTGTTCAGTACTAGGAAATCGACTATTTAGTATAGATTCAAATTGTGTACACCAAAAATAAATTGATGTCAACTACGCTTCATCGACTTATTGAGCTATGTGAAGGGAAAATCTAGGATACTATTGTTGTCTATATACAAGTGGTGTAAGCGAAACTTTGATGACTCGTGGTGTAGGTAGCGAGCTCCGCTTAAACACAACGCAGCAAGTTGCCCAAAGGCAAAGTCACTTAAGGTCCAGAGTGGGCATGTGTCCACCCTCAAATTTTTCGTCTTGCTATTACGTACTATATATTTTTTAAGTATATTTAATTGTATCCACTCTATTATTTTTAAAAAAATATATTATTAAGACCTAATTTAAGGATTTAATCCAATATATCCATCGAATTAGAAGTGGACTTTATCTAACCTAAAAACCCACAATTAATTCAACTGCTACATTGAATTAAATTTCCAAATTAGGTCCCTATAGCACTACCATATTTTTTTGTCATATCAATTAGCACATACTCATACCAAATTGAATAACAGTTGAAATACTTCGAACATATTCAGATTAATTTGTACATATTGGGTTTATTTTAAAAATTTTTGATCAACTTAATCATTTATTACTAATGTGCACTTTAGTATTTCGTAACTACAATTAACCTCATTTTCAATAAAAGACTATAATTAATTTCTTTTCTGTTGTACACATATATACATAGAATTTTTAAGGATCATTGATGAAATAAATAGTATAATTGTGTCATTTTATTTTTATCGATTAGAATAAAACGTATTAGAGTGCCCACCCCAAACATTTTTCTGGCTCTGCCACCGAAGCTGCAAGCACCTACTCCTATCAAAATGTAAAGCAGTGAGCTCCGCAACATAAGCCGCTGCCAATTAGCACTAATGCTAATGGGGACCCTGCTGAGGGTTTAAAGGTTGAGAGAGAGAGAGAGAGGAGCAATTTGAAAAGGAAACATGCAGCAAGTTGCCACACCCACAATCGTTCTTGGGCTAAAACATGGTACTTCAAAACAGCTGTTTGACATATGGCATCGATAAGACACCCTTAGAGCATGTAAAGCATACTGTTATGCGCTACATACGATTTCGTTTATTCTTTATTTTCCAAATTTGCCTGGAGCCAAAACACTTCAATGGTTGGTTCAAATTTTTAGTATTATTGATGGGTTCTTCGAGTACTATACAAAGGTTATTTAACAATATGTGAGCTTGCGCCTAAGCCACCAATATTTCCGATTCTATGTTTCTGTATAACTTCCAGTAACCAGAGGCCTCGCCTGTGATGACAGTTACAATATCATTACAACATCTACAACTTAGGTTGGGTCAATTGGGCAGGTGACAGTACAAACATTAAAAAGACCTCACTCTCTATGATATTTGTAGGCAAAACCAAACTTCTATTGAAAATTGCGCATTGCAGTCTTAAACATCAACATTTTACCCTTTCCAGAGCTTGAATGGGTATAATATGCAGTACCCAGTATCACAATGTCAGATCCTCACCAATTAATATCATCAGATAACAACTGATTAAGTTAATCCACCAATTGCTACAACTGCATCGGTTCCAGAAACGCATTTGTCTTCAACAAGTGGAATAGTCTTCCACACCGTCAATTTCATTGGAGCACTGCCTTTGCCTAAAAGAAGTGCAAATACAACTGTTAGCATTTATATGATGTTTTCAGATAGTTGAACTACTATTAAGCAATTCTCACCAGGGATACCATCCATTTCAGTGCAAATGGCAGCATAATGAGAACCTGCCAATTCCAAGAGAGCAAACTGCCAACTGCTTGTCCGGATTGTGGGCTCATCAAATGACTCGACAACTATTTCAAATGCCTGACAGCATAGCCGGGATCAGAATAGAGCAATTTACGTGATGATGGTTGGGGATATTAAAACAACAATTTCATCATGCAAGCTAAAACATGAGAAAGGGAAGCATGTAGTAGAAGTGATTTGAAGCATTTATGTGCCAAAATGGAGTTCAACAAAAAAAATCTCCAGTAGCATCTCCATAGAATGGAGACTAATAACCATATAACAAGATCATAATTACAATATAAGAATTATAGCAGAATTAGCTCCGAACAATGTAATTGAAGTTGATAAGTCAGATGGGGAAAAAATTGGGGAGCATTGCCCAGTTACCTGGGGCTTTCAAAAACATAACTTATGAGAACACTAGTTTCTGAAGTGAAGCTTGTTTTGTAATTTGCACTGTCCTATGCTTCCTCTTTTTGATTTGTTTTCTTCTTTTCAATTTATGTTTCTTGCCTCATCATAGAGGCCCCAAGAGAGGAAAATAGTTGGGAGAAAAAAAGAAGAAAGAAATACACTCAAGTACGGTTAAAAGATGCAAAAGTTTAGTTCCAATCAAATATTTTGACGCATCCTCATAAAAAATTTGGTGGCCATTCCATTTGTTGACTACAATTAATGGCTACTGTGTCTTGAGAATTAGAGACACAAAACTCGTTAGAAGTACAGTCCCTCTCGTTCAACAACAATTTAGTAATACAGGGTTTATGTTGGTAAAAGCTCATATTTCTCTACATTTGTAACTCCATTTGATTCAACTCATTCAGTAGGGCATCATCAAGGACAGGATGTTATCATGGATTGACCATTACATTACAGGGCTTCCAGATTTTATATGATGAGATAGTATCTACAATCTGTGCATGCTTTAATGCTACAGAGTTTCTGGGATGAACCTGAACAAGAAGTCCTCAAGTTTTGGAAGGTTGGGAGAATGAAGAGTTTGCATGGAACTTCCAAGGTAAAATATCCATTTCATGTAACACCCAGAAAACCCACCACCCAAACATTCCACTTCTTTCCCTAAGACTGGCCTGCTTACTTGCTCCGGGCACTGTTTGACTTTTTATTTCTACAGTAGGGAGTCCACATCAAAGGCCAACTTCAGTTCCGTGACTTCCGTCCTAAACATTTTCCCAGATCTCCCAAAAGATTGGAGGGTTTGAAAACCCAAGAGATGGCCAAGTAAAATGAGTAGACACCAGATCACAGTTTGCAGGATCTATATTAGGTCTTTCATAGGCCAATTCTAATTTAAGTAGGTTTTGTAATATACCTCAGAATTTGACAAAGGATGCAAGTTCCCTGTTGTAGTAGCCCTAAATCGAAGAGTAAAGGTCTTGAAAGGGGCACCCGAGAAGCCTCTTCCCAGCGCTTTGACATATGCTTCCTGGAACCAATTTATCTTTTAGAAAGAAGGCTTTCCAGAAACATTTACAAAAGTTTCGTTTCTGTAAATCCACCATAAGAAATTATGCATTGCCCATTTACAATAATGTAATGTACGACATGTGTACCAAGTGAATTGTTCAAGATGGATTTATAATGCATGTTTCAAACCACAAATTCAAAACCAATAGCTATGAAATGCTAACCATCTGAGGCTTTACATGCCTTTTTAGTAAACTTTTTCGCAACAAATATTTTTCCAGTAACACCAATATTTTCGTAAATAAAAATATACATTGGGAAACGGAAACTCCATGCTTTTTAGCCAATAACTTATCTAATAAGAACAAGCAAAAATTATACAATAGTTTAAGCTGACCTTGAGGGTCCACAGCTTTATGAATTCCTGGCGCTGAACTTCGCAGTCTGAAATAGCAGTTAAGAGTTCCACTTCATGGTGGGAGAAGTATCGCCGAGCAAAAGACAAGATATTGTTCTTTATTTTACGTTGCTTTTCTTCCACATCGACACCAATCTATAATCAGAAAGGTCAATGAGATCATTCCAAGTCGAGAAACTCTGAAAACAGCATGGAAATAAATAAAGCCAATATGAATTTATATGTGGCCTGTGTAAGCAACAGAGTACTAACTGGAGAATACATGGTGACTCCACAAGCTATCAATGAAGAAGTGTGTGAGATGTTGAAATGCAATGGTGGTGGGTTCCAATCATCACTGTTTTGCCACTCTACCTATAAACATAATTAAACAACCGAGTTTTCAAGGTACAACTCCAAATATATCAAAGAGAAACAGACAAGTTACCTGAGAAAACAGATGGAAGTCCACCACCAGCCACTCAATTTAAGAAAAACTAACCTCCGGCTTCCCATGGATGTTTTTTCTGAACTTCAGGGATCTTGGACTAACTTCAGGATTTATCTGATCTAGGAATGCACAATACTATTTAAGCTATCACATAACATATTGCTACAAAAAATTCTATTTTTTAATTAATCAAAACAATAAATATGGAAAATGGTTTTTGTTGCAGTTGGTGGTGGTGGTGGGGGGGGGGTTGGGGGGAGGGCAGTACACAAGCACAATAATTATGTTGACCTGTTTCAGCATAATACACTGGTGGATTTGATGATTAATTTTTCAAAAACAAAAAGTCTACACACTCAAAGATTGCTTCATCTTTTTTTCCCTTTTCCCTTTTTCCTTTTTCTTTTTTTTCTTCTTTTTCCATCTATCATACATTAGGGAGTCGGTTTGCCAATCTCCAGCAGTAGATGATTCATTCAAGATGACGTAATTTCACATTGTTCACCCTGTATTCAGAAATAATGTGAATTATATTGGCAGTCACATTGGCACTCTTTAATGGGTTCTTGCTTATCTATTAGAAAAGAGAAAGTCAGTTGCAACCACCATAATCCTTTAGCTGATATTGTTATAAAACAAACTTAACGAGTACTTGATATTATCAAAATACCACATAGCTATGATCCTCATAACGTACATGAATCGGTTTTAAATTTACATGATTGTTTCAGCTGATAATGCTTTAACATAACTTGTGTTGTGTATTAAGAAACTTTTCTACAGGATATCTATCACAATATAGATAAATCAATGAATATGATAAATATAAAATTCTAAATCTTGGACAAAACCAGTGCTTGCTCAGAACTATCAGATTTGCAATCCATGAGGAACATGTTCAATGGATGTCGGAGTTAAACCTTTTGACCAAAATAAATAAGTAAAGAAAATACATAAGAATTGTCACTATGAAGAATGGCCATACATCTTGAAATGGCGGTGCGAACCAAAGCACGTGCTAGCAGGGCTCGTTTCCTCAGCTCCTCTCCGCGCATGGTAAAAACATTTTCTTTCTCACATGGTGATAGAAATTCTAAATATTGATCTAGCAGGGATTTACTTTTCACTTCACTGGGTAAAGTATACCATAAATGGGTTTCCCTACAAAATAAAAAGAAAACTTTATATCAATCCTGTTTAAGATATAAAAAAAAATTATTGAAGCATTAAATAGGCGGGAAGTAGAAAATATATCTAATATTACAGTTAGGAAATTCAATTCCTAATCAAGATTGATCCAATTTTCATCTAAAGGTATAAAATTCATCCCAAAAAAAAAAAATTCCTGCTCAAAAATTTCATGTTTTTTACAACATTTGACAACTCAACCAACACACTTTCTAATACCAGACAACTCCATTAATCCACACCTACTTCACTTATTTTCTCTCAGTTCGTTTTATTTTAAATTGCGTAATTAAAAAAATAATAATAATTTTTTTACTTAAAATATAAATATTGCACAATTAATTCAAGATTTGTAGTACTGCCCGAGTTATTGCTAGTAATATAATAAGTCCAATATTTGCAACAAAATTAATGCCAAATATAATCTAAAAAAAATAACATAATTGATTGCAACTCTACTCAATGAATCCTTTGCCCAAACTGTTTGAATCCTGCTCAAAAATTTCATGTTTTTTACAACATTTGACAACTCAACCAACACATTCTAATACCAGACAACTCCATTAATCCACACCTACTTATTGCACAATTAAATATTGCACAATTAATTCAAGATTTGTAGTACTGCCCGAGTTATTGCTAGTAATATAATAAGTCCAATATTTGCAACAAAATTAATGCCAAATATAATCTAAAAAAAATAACATAATTGATTGCAACTCTACTCAATGAATCCTTTGCCCAAACTGTTTGAATCCTGCTCAAAAATTTCATGTTTTTTACAACATTTGACAACTCAACCAACACACTTTCTAATACCAGACAACTCCATTAATCCACACCTACTTCACTTATTTTCTCTCAGTTTGTTTTATTTTAAATTGCGTAATTAAAAAAATAATAATAATTTTTTTACTTAAAATATAAATATTGCACAATTAATTCAAGATTTGTAGTACTGCCCGAGTTATTGCTAGTAATATAATAAGTCCAATACTTGCAACAAAATTAATGCCAAATATAATCTAAAAAAAATAACATAATTGATTGCAACTCTACTCAATGAATCCTTTGCCCAAACTGTTTGAATCCTGCTCAAAAATTTCATGTTTTTTACAACATTTGACAACTCAACCAACACACTTTCTAATACCAGACAACTCCATTAATCCACACCTACTTCACTTATTTTCTCTTAGTTCGTTTTATTTTAAATTGCGTAATTAAAAAAATAATAATAATTTTTTTACTTAAAATATAAATATTGCACAATTAATTCAAGATTTGTAGTACTGCCCGAGTTATTGCTAGTAATATAATAAGTCCAATATTTGCAACAAAATTAATGCCAAATATAATCTAAAAAAAATAACATAATTGATTGCAACTTTACTCAATGAATCCTTTGCCCAAACTGTTTGGACTCAGACCATGTTTACTAAAACTGGTTATCCGTCAGACAGAATATAGAATCAGTACCAAAAAATTTGAAAAACAAGATACGAAATGACACATTATAATTAAAGAATATAAGGGGAATCATACCCTCGAGATGGAAGTTTTACAGGAATCAGAGGGGTTAAAGAAGTAAAGAACTGCCTATCGAAGCAGTGTATCTTCATTCTGAAACTTGCTCTGTGCCAATAGGACAACATTCATGCATGCCCACCATTTTTCTCCTGTAACCCAACAAAACAACCCAATTCACCACTCAGAAAGGGAAAAAAAAAAAACACAGAGTAAAACGATGAAAATTTCAATTTGGGTAAAGTGAAATTTTGTACTAGGATCAAATACCATTCAAACAGAAAAACGGTGAGAATCTAAGCTCGCTAAAAGGTTCTTTCTGGTTTCACATTATCGATGGTTATGGAAATTCTTTCCACTATAAAGTGGTTTTCCGTCGGCACAAACAATGTCTATATATCTGGCCGAGGAACGCTAACACGCAGATAGATAGACAGATAGATAGAGAGAGAGAGAGAGAGAGAGGTGTTATTGTTACTGTTACAAAGCGGAAGTCCGACCCACTGGAGCTGGAGGTGGAAACGATGCCGTTTGCGGGATGAAGGAAATCTGTGATTTGTTGATTAAAGTGTCGCATGTATTATCGAGGAAACCAAGGAAATGAATCGAAATTAGTTGATCAATAATAGTATTTTAATTTAATTTATTGATTTAATCCCTCGTAATCTTTTGGATTAATTACGGATCTAATAAATATTAAAGTTTATTATCAATTTAATAGTTATAAATAATTAGGTCAGTAAATTAATTCAAATAGATAAATAAATTAGATTCAAGTAACATTACTTTTAATCGATAATAATTTTTTAAAAAAATAAATAAATAAATATTAGTATTAGACATTCAACTTTGTTTTCGATTTTAGAATCATCACTGATTTTTTAATTATTTTAATATAATCCCTTAATTATCAATTTTATGGCAATACATTTCTTATGTCTATTTCACTCATTAGAACAAATAGAGACAATCTCATATCTGTATCACGTGTATCCGTTTATTTTAACGAGTTAAATAAATAGAATGATGTTATTGACTTAAAATTGATAGTTGATGAATTAAATTGAGATAATTGAAATTTTGAGGATCATTTTTAAAATATGATGCAAGTTTAAAAATTAATTATAATATTTAACAAAAAAAAAAAAACAAAACATAGATTGAAATCAAACGACAAGAATCATCTTAAGGAGGATATTTCCCTTGGATTAGATAAAATAAATCCGGGATTTAGAAATTCCATATTTGACAAAGGTTTTTTTCCCGACTAATTTTGAATTTAGACCCACAATTATCATTATAAATAATTTATTTAATTTGTAATTGTCCATAGTCAAATATTTATTATGTTAAATTTGTATTGTGCATTTGCCTTTTTTTTTTTTTCCGAGTTTCTATCGATTCTTTTGTTAACAAGTTTATTCATTTATCATTCGAAATCATTAACACTAAACTTAATTTACTAATTTCGTATTAACAAGTCACATATAGGATTACTAAACCTACTTGAAAGACCTGCCAGCTTTTATTTGGTTGGGGGGTGAACATGGATATGCATGTATTGCATTACAGATGGCATTATGCAACTCATTATACCTAATGGGTCAAAGAATGTGATAATAGAGACGAGTTGCAAACTTAGACGTCTTGAATTTGAATATCGATAATTTCTTAGGGGCACGTTATGAAATATTTATCCTTCATGAATACCTTAATCTCGAAGAGTAGATTAGTCAAGATGAACATAAGTTAACCCAAACATTCTCCACATTTAATAATTATAGAGTTACAAATAACAAATGTAAGGGTAGGTTGGAAGATAGTATTTTACTTGAAAATAACAATAAATGATACCACCTAACAATTATAACACATTGAATATTTATTCGTCTACCATGGGTGGCATCTGGTTAACTTGGCCCCCAACCCTAATAATTAGGTGGACGGAAAAACTGGTCTTTTGTTGCTCCCGACTAGAGTTTGGGTATGAACTTTCGGCCCGTGAATCGAACCGATTCTATAATCGACATGAAATAGTAAAATGTGAAATATACAACTTTTATATGTTTTGTCTATTATTTTAATCTTTTAATGTGAAAATGATTCCTTGACCCAAAATGTTTATATGTGGTTTGGTCTATTCCATAGCTCAACTTAAAACCCCACCAAACAAACCCTTGGATGCTGGACTGGCATCTGGTTTCAATACTCACCCCAAGTACTAATCTTTCATTATTCAACTCATCTTTGCCTTTGGATCAAGCCAAAAACCAACAAATAATACTTTATGAACATGATAGAGTAGTCCAATACATGAGACTCTCATCATTGTAAGGTCTAGGACGTACACAATTTTTCTCTCACATATAGAAAGACTGTTTTTGCTACTAAAATTTTTAACGTCTAAATTACAATAAAGCAATTGTTGCATGAAGGCCCACCCTCACTTCTTGAACATGGATTTAAAACAAACTATTTTTGCATTTTATCTTACACATATCCACTCTTTACCATTCTTTCTTAGTAGTTTAAGCAATAATCTACTTTTGCACATTTCCATTGGAGATTGGACTTTGGGTAGCAAAACATTTCTAGGTGATTTTTTTTTTTAGTTTAACAATCAGGGGTGTTTAGACCAACTTATGCGCACTTCGACTAATCCTCTCTTCGATTCGATCAAAGAAAGGTCACCACGCCAAGATTAGAGGATTCATGAAAGGTAAATATCACGTAATCTGGCCATAAGGAATTACCAAAACTCAAACTCAAGACGTCTAAGTTTACAGTTTGTCTATATTACCACTTGAGCTAAACCTTTGTCTAACATAAAAACAAACAAACTTCACCCAGAAACATATAAAACATCAATGAATAATCCACAAACATTCACCAAAAGAAAAGCAAACACACTGCCATGTTACACTGGTTAGCAAATAACACCCCCCCCCGGGGCCCAATCCCTCCCAGAACAGAGTCCAATGCCATTCACCGCCAGGCTTCAACCCGTTCTGTTCTTGAATTTAATCGACTAAGAATGCTGGTTTCCTTGCTCTTTTCTACATGCCCAGATACGCGAACAACAGGCTGCTCATTATTTTTTCTGGATCCTTTCTTATGATTGGAGTTACTTGACTGGCCAGTTTTGGTCTTACGATTTTTCGACTTAACCCTTCCACTTCTCACATTAGCACCCTCTTCAAGCCCGTCCTTCATTGGATCAACCTCATTTGGAACTTCACTAGAGAAATTGTCAACCAGATGCCACTTTTCATCAGAAATGATATTCTCAATAGAAGTGAGAAAACCATGAGCTTTGGAGTCTCTTCTGGAGTCCCCCTGACCAGGGTGGGCAGGGCTTTCTGAGAGCGGTTCTTTGGCAACAAAAGGTTGATCCTCTTGATCAGTTGCCTCATTGGCCTCTTCAGTTAGCGGTTGCAAAGAGCTATGCTGTCCATTTTCATCAGAAGGCTCTAAGTGGGGTGCTGGACCTGGTTCTAGTATGGAGTCTTCTCTTTCTCTTAATGTCTTGACAATAAGTGTCTTGAGAAAATTCATCACTTGGACAGCATACATCAACGCAGTCAAAGGATCGTCCATCTGCAATCAGGACAAATTATTTAGGCTATCATTTGCAACTAACAATGAACAGACAGCGTAATGAAAACATGTTCTTGGTAGAAAAGTACTCGAGTTAAATGTCAACATGCTCTCAGGTGAAGGAAAGGATTTGTGTCCACACCAAAATGGTAAGCAATTGGGTGCGAGAAGGTGATTAAAAAGATGGTAACAGTTTTTAAAACAAGCATCATATTGTGCAACATTTTGGTATGCTTTAAGGTGGGACTCGACCATCACCATCTTTGTCATATTCACTGTTATATTATCCATACGAATGGTGAGTGGGTGCCTTTCAACTTCCCCCTCCAGATAAATGAACATGATTGAAAAAACATGATAGTGAACTCTGTGGAAACACAGAACTCGGGGATCACTAGTAAAGCACACCTGAGTCATGTTTGGTGCAAACACCATAGCTATATTGCGTGCGTTCATTTTGTTTAGATGCTCCAGTTGAGCAACATCAGCCATCAGGTTTATTGCCCAGTCCATCAGAGCAGCTTCTGTTGGGGGGAGGATTCTCACAAGCCGAGCACACTCCTCTTCTGATTGGGCCTGCATGACCTGCTCTGGTGAAAGAGAGTCCAACACCCCACTTGGTAGTTCTCTAAACCAAGCCTGGCAGAAAAACCAACCCCATATTAAAGCAAAATATCATACAGTTTGTTCAATGTTCATTGAAATTATTGCATGAAAGGAGTCCACTTGGAGTTCAACGATTTTCCCATATTAAAGCACTGTATATCAATCAAGAAGTCCAAATTAGGATTGCATGCTTGGACCCGACATTTAGAGTCTTTACATGCATATCAATCAAGAAGCACAAATTACGAATACATGCTGGGATCCATCATCATATTCAGCTTGCCAAAGAATTTTCGTGTCACAAGTTCTAATCATCCTAACACTCCACTTGTTTCATGTAAAAATATAAGTGCCATGCCTATGGCAATCAAGAAACCAAGAATATTTCATGAGAGAGTAGAGTACAATATAAAGGGTAACAGAATGAACTAGTGCTTTATTTGTTTGGAACTCATTCATAGTATCTAACCAAGGACCATACAACTTAACCAAGCAAAGGCCTGTCCCATCTACTTTGAGGTCGGCTTCATGAATCCTGTTTTGGTAATCTGTGAAAGACACGATATGGACAGGATACAGCACACCAAGATCTGTAAAGGTCAGTTTTCCACAAGTTTCAGCCCTCACCGAAGTAACTCTGGGTGCACAGAAATTTCAAGTGTAAACCTAGATTATTGTAAGTATTTATATCAAAACTTGTCAGATACTTGAAATTTTACTATTGGCTATACTTCAAAATTTACTAAACTTCCAGTGAGGTAACCAACTTCCTGTCTCCAAAATAAGCCACCGGTGACAAAAATGTAAGAAGGTTAATTGTGATTAACTTGTAAAGAATTACCTTTATGAGACCTGATAAACAGTGCACATCAATGTCATCAGGTATCACTCCCCTATTTAATTGTTCCCTGACATACTCTTCTTGGCTATTCTCAGGATTAATTCGGAAAATTCCTTCTGCCTGCAAGTTGAAGTTCCACAAGAGTGAATTTTGTTAAAGATGGATAGTCAAAAAAACATCATTAATGATAACTCATCGACAGCAAGAAATACATAGCGTCAACAGACTATGCCCCTGCTGGAAGCACATTTCTCTTATTGCATATAGGAAGATGGGAACAAAGAACTTGATGCTACATACCTGCAGGCCCCCTTGTGCATACAGGCGCCTTTGCATCATCAGAAGTATTGTAGGTACACTGTTCCCTCTGGAGTCAAATGAAAGCTGCATAGACTCTGTTGAAACTCCAAAAACACTTGTACTACACAAAAATAATATTTTATGTCAATAATTGATTGTATTCCACTGCATAAAGATACCGCTAATTAGTGAAATGCAGGCTACCAGCAGCAAGAACTATATACAAGGGAAAATAAATAGACCTTGCCACTGTAAGGCTAAAAGTGTGGCTAACGGGGAAGATCCCGTCCACCCCCAACCCCAACCTCCCAAAGGACAAAAGAAAGAAAGAGTTGGCGGAGCAAATGCAAAGAAATTCATTTAATTTAGAATGCAACAAAATACAGAAGAAAGTTAAAAAATGAATAAAAAAGTCCACCAACCAGACATAGCATGAAGATTGAATCAGTGTAAAAACCACATTATCTCTAATTTGATTGACATTAAGCTTATATTGCAATTCATTATCGTTGGTTGAGAATACGAACCTAGGAGTTGCTAATTAATATTGTATACATCATAAATTTTTTTTTTTGGGTTCCTCTAGATCTTACTTGATGAAGAGTTTCATGAAAACTTCTTTCACATAAACATAAACATAATAAATTTGCATCCACAACAATCCTTGTTTTCTGATATATCATCGAATTGACATGGGATTACATAGCAAGATTGCAGATTAATCAATTCCAATGACAGAATGATATGAACTCCAGAAACTCAGATGAACTTTTCCCAGTGGAAATTTAAAGTAAAGTAAACCAATACTCAAGAGACAAAGGACAGCAGATGGTGTTGTTTGGATACAAAAGAGGATTGTGATGAAATGAAATAGAATCAAAATTAAAATTAACTTATTAAAAATTACTAAATCCTATTTTCTAATACATCACCAAGATTATTTTTTATTTTTGGCAGAATTAGAAATATGAAATGTGTAAATGTAAATATAACCAGTAAAAAGAAATGAATGGCACAAAAACATCACAAATAATTAACCTTTGGTACCCAAAATTTTGAAAAAGTGGGAAAGGAAAGACAAAACATGAACTACATTCCAGAAGCCAGAAACAAACCAAAACACCAAAGAGAAGAGAACTGACCTGGCACTGGGAGGCCTCCTGGGAACTTCAGGTTCAAACTCAACAGGTAGACCAAGAAATCCATTGAATCGATCAAAGGTGACATGGGCAACATGTCTGACATTTGTAGGCAACCCAATCTCCATTGAAGGATAGAACTCCTCAACTCTCTCACTCCTGCAAGCAACCAAAGATTTCCTAAACACAGTCACCAAAACTGCCAAAACAGACAACTGATCCCCTCTTCTCTCTCTCTTCTCTTTCTCTCTCTACCCCTTCCAACACTCTCTTGTTGTTCCTCTTCTTCCACCTCTGTATCTCTCCTGTATACAGTTGCAGGATACGAATTGGGGCTGCTAATAAAGTTATTGTGGTTGAGATGGGTCTGTTGGTGAAACCCATCATTGTCTGAGGATGCTACACATCGTGTGGAGCTTGAAGATGAAGTTAACTGTGGTGGGGATTGTAGTATTTCGGTCATTTTTGACAATATTTATATATAAAGATTGGTTTTGGGGGTTATAAAAGATGCAAAGTATGGAACAGTTTGTTGGGTGTTTTTTTCCTTTTTTAAGAATTGTTTTTGTGGTTGGGTGGATGAGTAGATTACAGAGGAGAACAGAATGGGCAAATAGGGTATGAATGCTCGAGAGTCTTGAGACTTTGAGTAGAGTTGGATTCAAGGAAAGGTTTTGGGAAGGTGAGAAGTGAACATCATCATTCATTCATTTCTTTCTTAAGCTTCTTGTATACATATATGATATATGCACAAAAATATATTCTTTTCCGAGGCTGGCTGGCTTTGCTTGTGGTAGTGAGTGAGAGAGAGAGAGAGAGAGAGAGAGTGTTCTGGTCCCTTGGAATCAAAACTACCTCCACTTATAAGCAAACTAGAAGGCTTAGCTCGTCCACAAACTCAATAGTGAACAACCGAGTGGAGTCGTCTGTAGTGGGTTGCCGATGGCACTTTTTATCTTTGGATTCGAGTTTTAAAATTTATAGTGGAGTTTAATAATATTACTATGGTAATTTGGTTATACAATTAAAAATTTTGATAATATTTATGCGCTCTCCCTTATTCCTACTTTTTTATTTTTTAAAATAAAAAACCTCAGTAGTGAACAATCTTGAATTATCTAAGGAACAAAGTTGCTTTCACCATCTGATCGGTGACCCACTGTGTAAATCCACTAGTAAATGAGCTCATAATCACACTACATATATATATATATATATCATGCTTTTGCAGTATATCTATAGTTAATTTGTTTAAGGATTTCTTTATAAATGTGGAATCGCAGAAGAAGAGGTGGTGTTGGGTGTTTTTGTTTTTTTTTTTTTGTGTGTGTGTGTGTGGGGGGGGGGGGGGGGGGGGGGTCTGGTGGGTTATTATTATGTTTGGAATGGATAATGACAGCTTAGCTTGCGTAAAGCCACCACCACCAGGGCAGTTATAGATATAAGGAGGACCATATGACTATAGGAATATATAGTCAATTTCACACAGGTCAGAATTGACACCATTATGAATCCGCAACAATATGCCACTACAGGTGCCATCGTGCCATTATATGTAGCAGATTTGAAAATAATATCCAAATATAATTTTTTAATATTTTATTTTTTTGGTTTTGATCCAATCATTAGATGACGTGTAAAACTATATTGTCATTAAATTTTATTATTTTTTATGACCAATACCTATAAAATAACTCAAATCAACATTAATAATCATTTTTTCAGTACGGTACACAAAATTAAACTTTTGGTAATTCTATACTTCTTCGTACGGTAGCTCTACATTTGATTTCAGATAATGATTAAAGCCAAATTACCCAAAAAGATTAAGAGTGACAAAGTTTCAGTATCATGTCAATTTTCATATGTTAGTTCTATGTTTGATGTGAGAACATGGATATTCCAAATTATCCTAAAAATAAGGATCAAAATTTTATTTTAGTGCATCGTTCGATTACTTAGGAAACGGAAATAATTTGAAAACGTTTTGAAAATAAAATAAAAATAAATGCATAAAATTAAGAATTATTTTTTCAAAATATTTGTTAAAATATATTAAAATACCTTGAAAATATTTTGAAATAATTATATAAATTCATTGAAACATTATAAAATATCTTAAAACATTATGATTCTAACCTGTCGGTCTCTTTGAATTTTAATTTTATTATTGATTCATTTCAGTCTCTTTGAAAACAGAAACGTTTCATATATTTTGACTGTTTCGAAACAAAATTTTGATATTTACCTAAATGATTCAAATGTTGTGTTGCATAAATTTGGGAGGAAATAATTTGAGCCCTAACAATAGATACCATTGTTCAATTTTTGTTCATTTAGGGACATCCGATAAAATTAGAACGATACATAAAAGATTAGTGCGATCCTCACACAAGGATGATACAAACAAATCTAGAAATAGTCCATTGTTATGTTTGAGCTTTCACAATGAACACCAGGAGTGAGTTATCTTCAACATATATTTCTTCAACTCTTTTAAGATGATCATTTGTTCTAATCTGTACAATTCTTGATTCTCTATTGATTAAAAAAATTAATCCAAAATACCCACATAAATCAAAACCCGTAGAAAGTTGAATGATACATGTTATAAGAGAATAACAATTTACCTGATTCACGTGTTTTTCAATTAGTTGTTTGCTTTTAGGGTTTACATTGTAACTAGCCATTAAATCGAAAAAACATATAATCAAGACGAATCTTCTTTTACGATCTTTCTTAAACACAATTGCACGTCTCATAATGTTTTATTCTATTTTGGGTTCAAAAACACTTGTTGTGTTCCATCATGTCTGCAAAAGGATCACACAAATCTCTATTGATAGATTAGCCCTAATTGACGGGCAGGTGACAAAGTGTCATAATTACAAAGAAACTAATAATAAAAAAGAGAAGTATAGGACAAGACAAGAAGTTAATTGAGTGGTTAAGCACTACTATCACAATGGCATGCCAATTCCCATGGTGATTCTTAGTAATGTCATCAAGCACTTAGCCATTTTTTTCATTGAACTGATTTGGTAGGAAACTTTTGGCAATTTGTACCTGGTGAGAGAATATTCTCTCAAACTTGGTTTTTCTCTCTAGAGAGTAGCTTCAATGCATAGCATATTAAATCAGGAAAGAACAAGAATGTAAGCCAAAACCTTTGAATTTTGTTATTTTCCTTTATGTTATTTAGGGATGAAAATTTATCTAATATTATCAATGGATTTATGATCTAATGATACTCTTTATCTTGTGGAAGATTGTATTCTTAAGGTCAAAGATTCAAATCCCTTAAACGACAAAAGTGAAGCTGGTTGGTAGGACGGATCTCAATTACTTTGATGAACTGTATCCAAATCTCTAGTATGAGTTTGAATTCTTACTGAAACACAAGTTCTGATTTAACTGGTGATGAGTTAAGGAACCGATTTATACACTCAAGGTTTGCTCTCAGTTTTACGCAAACTTACAAGTCTGAATGACATAAGCACACCTTTAGTTACTAGGTATAGACCAGGGTTTTCCCCTATTACAAAAAAAAAAAATCATCTAATTTTGTAGTTGCAAAGTTAAATTCTTAATTTATAAAAACATAATAACAGTCAAGATTGACTCAATATTCATCTACTTTGATCCAATGATACAAAATTCACCCCAAATTTTTTTTCTCTTAAAAAATATCATTTATTTTACACGACCCTCAACTTCAGACAGATCAATCATCACATTTTTTTTTTTTTGGTTTAATCAAAGACAAGTCATCTATGTCAGAATTATGATATTCATAAGGGATAAATCTATTATGACATAACCTCATGGAATTGGAAAGATTTGAACTCAAAATTTCTGGGTTTACAACTCATTCTCATTATCACTTGAACAACTCATTAACACACTCTCCAATGTCAAATAATTTCATCAATCTATACCAACCTCTTATTTTTCTCCCTTCATTTTAACTTTAAATAACGTAATTAAACAAACATGATCATATACATATAATTTTTCATAGATTCCGCAATAATTACATTTTTATACTCTAGAATAACATTTTATTACGAGTTATGGCATCACACTTTTATGTCTATGGCACTATGTATTCACTTTGTGCGAATAATATATTCAATTTTATCCCCTTTTTCTTTACCCACCTTAAATTATGAAATCATTAAGAATCAAATTTTATCAATTGTGGATGAGAGACGTTGGGCTAATGGGCCAACCCACGGGTCATGAGCTTTGTGTCGACCCTACGGATATGTGGCACTAACACGTTTTTTATTGATAAGTTTCCTCGAGAACGGGCCTTTGTTCGGATTGTTCGTAATAAAAAGGGAGCTTGTTGCAGACAGCTCAAATCACATAGAAAAAAGGAAAAAAGGCAGAATAAAAGTGGTACCCGTGTTAGCTTTTGTCTGTCCAGATCCGTATGGAAACATGGAGAGAGCGAGAGAGAGAGATTAGGAAAATACAGGTTTATGAAGTGACAGAATTCCCTGTTTGAAATTCAAACTGAACAGGGCGGGCTGCTTTCCTACTTTTCCTCGCAAGAAATGGGAAAGAGAAAATAAGGAAAAATGGTGTGTGAGTTCGGGGTAACGTTAGTGTTAATAACAATCTGCTTGAAACGTTTGTAACATAAACACAAGTATAACTGATGACATGATTTTAGTTAGGAATGAGTGAATTGGGGAGAAATGGATATTCATCTAAATTCATGCCGTTTAAATTGGGAGTAGATTAAACTCAGCTTGTCCCTCCCTTCCTCGCTAAATTTGTAATATATATATATATATATATATATATATATATATATATATTTTTTTTCATATATATTGAATTTTCATCTTTCTTGAAAATCTATTTGTAAGGTTTTATGATTTTTTTTAATTTTTTTTTAAAATCATAAAAATTGATTGTTATGGGTGGGAATGGTGGCAAGGACGTGGACGGGGACAGGAATCAAAATTTATCTGTAGGGCAAAAAAGGAAATTAAAATTTTCCACGCTAATGGGGGTTGATCGGAGATGGACTAGTATTTTTGAAGCAGCTACGGGGGCGGAGACTAATCCCCCCACCCTTGCCCTGGTTCATTGTCATCTCGAATTTTAAATCAAGGCATGAATACAATGTGTGGAAAGTGAAAATCTTTAAATCGAACACAACTCATTTAATAAACGAATTATGTTGGATAGAGTCGGGCAAATACAATATCTCTTTTAATCGATCACCAGTGTGTTATTACAAATGCTATATAATAAATTACTAAGAATGAACTAACACAAATAAGAGATATCTATACAAGTTTTATTTGTCTTTAATTTTTTACGGCTCAAATCGTTTAAAAATTATTGATTGATGATCGTAGTTGGACTTTTATTCCTTTTACAATTTTAAGATTCTCATCTCTCATATAACTCTCTCTATCTCATATATTCAACTCTTTATCTCACAGAAATTTTAAATACACACACTCTCGTCTCTTAGACAACTCTCTCTTTATCTCATATCTATTTAAAACGCATATTCTCTCATTTCTCAAACTCTCTATTTCTCTCTCTCTCTCTCTCTATATATATATATATATATATCTCGTACTCTCTCTCTATTAGCATTGTTTGTCTTTCTCTCTCTCTCTCTCTCTCTCTCTCTCTCTATATATATATATATATATATATATATATATATATATTTATCTCATACTTTCTCTGTTAGCATTGTTTGTCTTTCTCTCTATATATATTTATCTCATACTCTCTCTATTAGCATTATTTGTCTTGATGATCCTAATTAGACTTTCATTCTATCTTTATCTCATGCACTCTCTCTCTTAGTATTGTTTGTCTTGACGATCGTAATTGAAATTTTTTACTCAAAATATTTATATGATTTTATAGATGATAAAATATTTAAATGTTTAAAAAAAATTATCAGGTTGTAGACATTCAAAATCAAGTTAATCACCAACAAATAAAAAAAAAGTCAAGCTAATTACTAATAAAAAAATAAGTGATACCAATTGCACAATAAAAAATTCAAAATCAAGCTAATAACCAATAAAAAATAATAAGTAATATCAATTGTACCACAAAAAAACTAAAAATTCAAAGTAAGCTAATCACTAATACAAAAATAACAAATGACCAATAAAAAAAATAAGTAAAACTAATTGCACCCACAAAAATAAATAAATAATATTCAAAACCAACATTTTATAGTCTTTATAACCCGTTAAGGCCACATTCAAATCCACTTAATTCCGTGTCGATTCGTATTAGTTAATCGTATTGCATTGCAATTTGACATGTCTTGTTGAACCCATTTTTTACTATGCATTTATTATTTGTATATTTTTTTTTATCAAATAATAGTCACAATTATGCAGCCTCTTTTAACCTGTAGAATTTGCCTAATCCAACATTACCTATTCATTAAACATATAATAGTTGTCATGTTACCCACATTATAAATATATTATATTAAGCTCAGTGGTTTTGATATGATATGATTAGTTGATCTATTGCATTCAGTCAACCCCTTTATATTCCTGATCAAGAAAAGAAAAAAAAAACCACACTTATTGAAATAGGCGCGTTTGCACACGACATCTATGGACCTAATTACAAAAGGGATAATATAAATATTACTAAATTCCTCTTCTCCCTTAATTAATATTTAATAGTGTTGACGACATATCATCAATATTAATAAAACAGAACTGCCAACTTAACCTAACAAAACAACGGCTGGCTTACATTGTTTAGTTCCGACGACGGCTTATATTTTTTAATTTTTTATCCGTAATAATTCACTTAAATTTTAGACCAAGTACAATTAGGACTCTAATCAGTCAAATCTAAGACTTAGGGTGTGTTAATAAAATCTAATTTACTGTATTTTTCAATATTATTTCAGCTTTTACACTTTTATTTTCAGTTTTCAAACTCAGTTTTATCAAACACCACTTTATATTACAATTTATATTTTAATTTTTAAACCACAATAACTCATTTAAATTTTAACATTTTACCTACCGACCCGTTTGATACATCCCAACCCGTGAGTGTGTTGGACTGCAACTGCTTGACTTGCTAATCCACTTATTTCGTACTTGGGTTTTTTGCTAGTACAACCAAGCAATGCCTATTTGGCCACTGTTTCAAAAAAAAATTTATTTTTTGGTTGATGAACACAGACAAAAGAATATATGTATGTATATTTTGAACATGCTTTATCCGTACAATCGTACGAAACCTCCTTCACCCCTCGGTGCTGTTTGGTTTCTGCAACTTTATTTCAGGCCAATAAAACAAAATGTAAAATCTAAGCAGGTAAGAGCACAAAGAACTACTGCAGCATGAAATTGAATCCTGGTAAGAGAACACTCTCTGGGTTAACCAGCAAACAGCGAGTCAGCTCACTAAATGCTTGTTACGTTTGCTACAATTTACCCCGAGTCGAATTTTAGGCCCTAAATATTTTGTGATAAAATAAGTCCCTTGAGGACAGAAATTGCAACTTTTACTACAACAGAATAACTTTGAACAAAACTTAGGTACAATTTTCAATTGTTTTCCAACTTGTAAAACCTCGGACATATTAAGATAAATCATTATCGGAAATTGAATATAGATAATAGAACTCATCCCACATTCAAATTCGTTCAATTAGGAATGGTAAAATGGGTTCGCTTCAAGCATTCATACAATCTTCTGTTCAAAATAACTAAAATTAACTGTTTAAGTGGCTCGAGCAAGTCTTCAACTATGTTTGACTAACTTGAGCTCAAACAGTTAATCCAGGTAGAAGACAAACACTAAACCAAGTAAAAGCTTATAGAATTAATACATTTGGTCTAATATACAACAGACAATATCATCCACAATGACCGATACCATTAATGTCAAATACAAATTGTTTACGCATGCAAGATATTCAAGCTTATCAACAAACCATGGACTAAAACATACCCAACAAGACCAGTCATTCCGCTGCATCAAATCAATTCCATATCAGACCAACATAAAATAAACTTTTCTCTAACATACTAGCAGCTCTACTGTCCCAACAGGTAAACATAATACAGGTAATTCATACCAATCCTATCCACAATCACTGTGTTCTGCTTACTGGCTCAAGCGCTTCAACAGTGACCACACTGTTTCCTCTGATGACCTGCAGGAAGAGAATTGACATCATAATTACCAATGGGCTGGCAAATCAGGGCATTATTATCAAATGAAAGACTTAAACAATAAAATGGCAAATAGGAAAAAGTCAAATACTTACCACCATGCCTATATCAGTTGTCTCGTTGCCATTCACTTCCAGAGTGTTGTCAATCACCAGATTCATGAACTGATCAAATCCACGAAGTGTTCCAACCACCATACGATTTGCATTCAACTTGACTGAAATAGAGAATATCAGATTAAATTTGCCGGTGTATGATCTATTACTACATTACAGAATCTTGAATTAATAGACCCAGTAGAAGTGCACATTAGAATCCAAATGGGCTAAATTAACAATACCAACTAGGACTGAAAATTGACATGTATTCTGAACAGGACTTGATCCTTTTCTCTTCATTCTGATGTTATCGAGTTGTAAATGATTTCAATCACCTAAAATGGTGCTACGGCTTTCTAAACTAAAATTCGTGATACTAGTTAGAAAAACTACTGTGTTGATTAATGATTCGATTCAATAGATTCAAGTTCCTTACAAGTGTTCAATCCATTTGGTGTGCAATCAAAATGAAATAAGCAACCGATGCTAAAAATTATTGCTAAGTTGACAGTCCTTGCGATTCTTTTTCACAATCTATTGACATTTTTGTGCCATAATACTGTGCTGGAGGTCTTTTAAATACACTATAAAGTATACATAGCTAGCTTCCCTTGATACTTTGTGTTATGAAAAATGGTGCTATATCCTCGTAGCCAGGGTGAAGATGATACAACAGTATCAGAACTAAAATGAGCACTGTCAGGACTTTATCCTCTATATAACATGTTTAGCACCTCTTGTTTCGTAAATTGAAGGGAATCACATTACTTATGCTACAGTTGGTGAACATGATTCTATGATAGCAATCAGCCTTCTCCAACTTATTGCCCGTGCAACCTCAATGGTTTTGAGTCTTTTAACTATGCTGATCGACATGGACAACCCACGAATGATGATGCATAAAGAACATTGCAATGACCAAGAAATTTCCGAAAATGAATACAAAAATCATTCATGTTATACACAAATATGTCGTACAATTAAATTTCTAACGGGCGCAATCGAGGCAAAACTAACACTTACTATAAGTTCAACGATTTAACAGAGAATCTAACAATAAATTTACAAGAACTATTGTGTTCCGTTTGGTTGCTGAGAAAAAAAGAATGCAAATAAAAATTCTGAATCACATCTCTCTGTACATGTATTTATTTAATTTAATTTGCTTGTTAACTATTTTCTCAGCAACCAAACAAACCCTAACAATGACTGCTAAAATGAATGGGATAATGAAACGCATAAACGTGTACGAAGGGAGAACTTACTCTGTAATTTCTTGTCCATGTATCTGTCATCCAAAACACCAAAAAAAGATGCATTAAAACAAAAAACAATTTGAAGAAAACACAAAAAGAAAAGGCGATACAACGAATACAGGAACCGAGAAAACCTAGACCGGTGAGAAATACAAAGATAGTGGTAGCTTACTTCTTGAGATCCGGAGGCTGACCTGATCTGCTCATTGCGAAACCCTAGAGAGAAAAACTATTTCACAGGCAGAGAGCACACAACAGTGGTTTATCGTCCATTAAAACCCTAAAAAGTGGGCCGGGCTCAATAATTTTGGGTTTCTATCAAAAGCCCAATTTTTTTTATCAACACTGGTTTATCGACCATTAATACCCTAAAAAGTGGGCCAGGCTCGATGATTTTGGGTTTCTATCAAAAGCCCATTTTTTTCGCCCATTAATACCCTAAAGAACCTTTAAATTAAGGGATCTTTGGAAGCTGGTACACCTTATTAGATTTATTTGGTAAAAATTACATAGAACAAAATGTGAGTTAAAAATACATAAATGCCCATTTTAGGATCATTGAACTCAAAATCTCTTATCTTTAATACACTTTGATTCATGCGTTTTTTTTTTTGAAAAGTGATTTTGTTTTTAAATTATATTTAATGCACCTTGATTCAAGTATTTTTTTTTTTTGAAAAATAGTTTTATTTTCAAATTAATTTAATATCCGAATAATGTAATAGTATAACAATAACAGTGTAACAAATGCACTGTAACAAAAACAGTGTTCAGTAGTTTTGTGTATATGGTAACAAATTCAAAACGGAGATCGACTATTTTGAATGAAATTATATGAAACTATATGTTTGACAAAATATAATAGTACAATATTTTGTGTAAATAGCTCGTTACACTATTATTGTTACACTGTTACACTTTTATTGTTACACTGTTACACTTTTATTGTTAAACTGTTATTGTTACACTATTACACTATTTTGATATTAAATTAATTTGAAAATAAAACCACTTTCTAAAAAAAAAATGCACGAATCAAGGTGCATTAAAAGATAATTTAAAATTTAGATAAGAGATTTAACAAGAAGAATATACATACATATATATATATATATATATGTATATAAATATGTATGTATATATAAGTATATACATAAATATATACATATATATATATATGTATTTATGTATATATAAAAACATATATATATATATATATATATATATATATATATATATTAAAGTTCTCCCATAAAACTAGGAGATGTTTAATGCATCACTTTCTAAAGAAAAGTGGTGCATTAAGTACAAATGGATTAATGGAAGGCAAAAATGTCACAATAAAAATTAATGAATTCAAATTATGTACTTAGATACAAATAAATATCAAAATTAAGTACTTAATAACCTAACATTTTTTAGTGTGTACTTTTTTCTAAATAAGTCTAATTTGGTGTACCTCTTACAATTTACCCTTTGTTTAACTAGCGTCCCAACTTAATAGAGTCGATTTTATTAATTCTGGTCGTAATGTGGATGATAGAACACTATAATAAGTGCGTGAAACATGAAATTTCACGTGAAAATCAAGTATCACTCACCAGAATGGGACATTTGGGTATGAACTTAATCTATATTTGATAAAGTCGCACACCCTAATGTACATGATTTTATGCGAAATTCATGGTTCCAGACATATATTATAGTCTTCTATCCTTTCCAACACGATGATCTTTAGTGTGTCACAATTTTTAGGTTTGGAGACTAGTTAAACTAAATACAATTTTCTAACTTTGATTAATCTTAACATCGTATTTGGATGTTGCATTCGCTTGAATTATATATGATTTTCATGCTAAAAGACTGATTCATTGACCCTTAAAATTTTATATTTTATAATATAATATCAACAAAAAATATATATTGCCTTTCGAAAATGCATCACTTTAAGAATTCCAACAATTTGTTTAAGCAATACAAAGTGTGAACCCTCACCTTTTAGAGACATGTCATACATAATGATTCAACAGACATCATTGGATTGGTATGGGACCTTGGGCATAGGCATGTCAACCGTATTGGGTGAGACGGGTTTGTGTTGAGTTTTAGTGGGTTTATATCAAAAAGTATTTAACGCTTACCTAATTCGTTTATTAATTCATATCTAACAAACCATGTTATATTGAATTCGTGTCGTGTATAAATCGTGTATAACCGGCATATACATGAGTTGTGTCGTATATTTATTTTAGTTGACTTTACTCATATCCGATTCGTTTATTAATCGTGTTATTTCATAACTACTCATTTACAAAACGGATGTCTTAAGAAAGACCAAAATTCCATAATTTCGTATCGTGTTAATGAATCGTGACATATTTTAACACCTCACGTAACCTACAAGGGCTAAAAGGTGACCCTAATACTGAAAATTGATGCATTCTTAGTGCATGTTTGATTCAAGAATTAGAAATGAAATTGGACTATATTACTAGAAACTTTATATCATTTATTTGGATTCTATTACATGGTCCAACTTATTACATGAATTAATGTGGGCTCCATGATACAGTATCAAATAACATCACCCAAGTGATTTAATACCAATCTCATAGGACACGACCATACAATCAATTCTGATTGGTATTAGACACTACAATGACCACAGTGTTATTGGCTTTGTTTGGATGGGATTGAATGCAGATGTGCTTTTGTTTTTTTTAACTTAAAAACATGTACTAATCTCTAGTTGAAATATCTATAGGATAAAACAATATGCTCTTCACTAATCAAAGTATAGCAACAACCCCCATTGTGTTACATCTGATGGTTTATGTATAACTTATTTTTGAATTTACATTAAATCTCTTTAAACTATATTAAATATTCTAACCACAATAAATTTTTTAACCATACTTACTGTTTAACCATAATAAAAATAATTTAAATAAATATTTTAACTACAATAAATATTCTATCTACGATAAAAAATAAAAAAGCATACTTAGCATGAGGACACTTGTAGGATTGATATTATAAGAATAGACTCAATACCTTATCTCAATCTTATGCAAATGATCAAGTATAAGTATCCCGAATTCATATCAGTTTGTCCACCAAGAATTTTCTAATGGTTTAAAAATTGACTCGTGTAAAAGTAAAATTACCGAAACACGTGCTCACCACGCACATATAGTCAAATATGAAGTGTTTCTAGCAATTTTATTTTTATTTGGAAAGGCCTCATATATATTGCATTATTGTGTCTGTGCGTCAAACCCTAAGTTGGTTTGACTTTCAAAAAGTGCCCTTGGGAATTGTTTTTTAGTTGACATTTTTATAGTCATAATGGATAATACTTTTATTTTTATTTTTGATTGAACAATGCATTCAAAGGATGCATTTAAGTCTAATGGTTTATGTATAACTTATCTTTTAATTTATATTAAATTCCTTTGAACCATAGTAAATATGCCAACCACAATAAATATTAATCATACCTACTGATTAAACAAAATGAAAATATTTTAAATAAATATTTTAACTACAATAAATATTCTATCCACATTAAAACAAAAAAAAGTGTAATTTGTATGACGGCCCTAGTATGATTGATATTATAAGAATAGACTCATAACTTATCTCAACTTTATGCAAGTGATCAACTATAAATAACCAAAACTTATAAGAGTTCATCCACCAAGAATTTTCTAATGATTTAAAACTTAACTTATGTAAATATAAAATCGCTGGAGCGCGTGCTCATTGCACAAATATAGTCAAATATGAAGTATTTGCTAGCAATTTCATTTTAATTTGGAAAGGCCTCATTTATATTGCATTATTGTGTGTGTGTCAAACCCTAAGTTGATTTGGCTTTCAAAAAGATCATATAACCCTTGGGGGTTGTGTTTTTGGTTGACATTTTTATAGTCATAATTGATGGATAACACTTCAATGCAATCAAGGATGCATTGAAGTCTAATGGTTTATGTATACTTTATCTTTTAATTTACATTAAATCCCTTTGAAGTTTGAACCACACTAAATATGCTAACCACAATAAATATTTTAACTACAATAAATATTCTATCCATGTTAAAAAATAAAAAAGTGTACTTTGCATGAGGACCCTAGTAAGATTGATATTATAAGAATAGACTCATACCTTATCCAATCTTAAGCAAGTGATCAAGCATAAATATCCCAAACTTATAAGAGTTCATCCACCAAGAATTTTCTAGTGGTTTAAAACTTGACTCTTGTAACTGTAAAATCACCGAAACGCGTGCTCACTACACATATAGGCAAATATTAAGTGTTTGTTAGCAATTTCATCCTAATTTAGAAAGGCCCCGTATATAATACATTATTGTGTGTGTGTCAAACCTTACCTTGGTTTGGCTGTCAAAAAGATCATATAACCCTTAGGGATTGTTTTTTGGTTGACATTTTTATAGTCATAATTGATGAATTACACTTCAATGCATTCAAAGGATGAGCCAACCCCCCTCCCTTCTCTCTTTCTCTTCACCCATGACCCACCCAAGAATTGTTTGTCTATTACTTGTCCCATTATAATCATGTATAATTGGTTTTATATCGCGTCACTTTTTATGTCTTGTATAAATCGTAATAAATAAGTTATTGTCGTGTTTAGTTATATTTGTATCGATTCATTTATTTGACAGGTGTAACATGTCTATTCATGTATTGTCCGAACTATGAAGCCGAAATTTAAATTTGGATCAATTTTTTGTAGCATTCGCAGAAAGTGCGTGCACACACACACAAATATAGTCAAATATGAAGTATTTGCTAGCAATTTTATTTTAATTTGGAAAAGGCCTCGAATATATTGCATTATTGTTGTGTGTGTGTGTGTGTGAAACCCTACGTTTGTCTAACTTTCAAAAAGATCATATAATCCTTGGGGATTGTTTTTTGGTTGACATTTTTATAGTCACTAGTTGATGGATAACACTTCAATGCATCCAAAGGATGAGTCAACCCCCTCACTCCTCTCTTTCTCTTCACCCATGACCCACCCAAGAATTGTTTGGCTATTACTTGACCCATTATAATCATGTATAATTGGTTTTATATTGGGTCACTTTTGCGTCTTGTATAAATCGTACTAAATAAGTTATTGTCATGTTTAGTCATATTTATATCAATTAATTTATTTGACAAGTGTGACATGTCTA